TAATTACGTCAGTGAGACTAGCAATCCAATCAACACGTTCTAATGAGGCAAATATACATTCCACAATTAATGCTAGGTGTATATACAGTATGTCAAGGTTTAAAACGTCTCGAATCATGTCAAGAAAGAAGTTATCAAAGATCTTTAATATATAACAAATATCGAATTATTTTTAAATTAGCAGAAAAAAATCAGTTGAGAAAAACATCGATAAGTAACGATATGTCCACTCGTACAGCTATATATTCAATATGAAATCATTTCCAGCGAATTAAAGTTTGATGAATTTCTTAATATCAGAACGAGTGGTGAATAAATTGTTTCAAACTTAATTGAGAAATAAGGTTCACATATAATTTTTGGCGTGTCATTTCGTTGACGGTACCTATTAACAAAAAAAGAATTTCGATTCTAAAAACAATTTCCGTCTGGCTTTTTCATCTTTGTTTTCTTTAACCGTTTAATATTAACTGCCATTTAATGGTTGGCCATATGTATACTCGGCAAATACCATGTAAAAATCCTGACTGCAATTTTTTTTAACGAGATTTCGGAATTTTCATTCAATCAGAAAAGCAATTTAATTGTTTTCGCCAAGAAAGCCAAAATAATGTACAAAATAACAAGTGTTTGGTGTTGTTTGTTTGACAGAAAGAAGCTACGAGTGTTTACCAAAGATAACGGTCACGTGATAATGACAATAATGACATTCTTTCTGCCAAACAACGGTCTGCTCAAGCTTATTTGTAGTGCTTCAATACTCTTTTACTACGTATATTGAAGGATTGGTTGATGATTATAAAAATAAGATGCGGTATGATTGCCAATGAGACAACTCTCCACAAGAGACCAAATAACACAGAAATTAACAACTATAGGTCACCGTACGGCCTTCAACAATGAGCAAAGCCCATACCGCATAGTCAGCTATAAAAGGCCCCGAAATGACAAATGTAAAACAATTCAAACGAGAAAAATAACGGCCTGATTTATGTACAAAATAGTGAACGAAAAACAAATATGTTACACAGCAACAAATGACAACCACTGATGTTTGCTTTACGCTGCATCAACGCAAAAAGACTATATCGCAGCGAGAGATCATTCATATATATACATACAGGTGTAGTATATTAAAGGAAGATGATAGTTCGATATTTCTTAAAGGATGAAACATAGTACACTAAATAAGGTTTTCTATGCATGTATGATTATAAGGTGTACGCCAATGAGACGTGTACAGTAACCAAATTTTTGATTGAAGTAAACATTTATTCACAACTTCCACAGAGTCGAATCAATTTAGTGCTTTTAAAATAAATTAACAAATCTAATGTTGATGACCGTTTTAGGATCTCAAGATGTCTTTAAGTTCTTTTGTGTCGCTGGGCTGCTGCCTGATGGACTTATGCCCCTCGACTCCTTTTATTCATATTTACAAGAAACATTTAAATATGGAATTATTTTTTTATTGCATGCTTTCTAGTCTGTCAAGCAAGTTTCCGAATCATAATAAGGATCTAACTAACTACCTGTACCGTACTATGTACATATTGATCGTATCTGCCATTTAATAACACGTCTCCCTTGAACTGCATGTATCAAATTCCTGACATGTGCTTCCTTTCCAGGACATGGAAATTGTTATCAGTAGACCAAGAGATTAGTTTTGCTGGAGTTTTATTAACTTCTAAATTATCATGTTGCCATCGGGGAAAACATTTGATGTAACACAATTATGTTGTTGGTTTATTACTTCACGACAAAATTGTTGCTTGCAAGTTAGCCATGTCTGAAAGATAGTCTTTCAGAAATGTTATCAAGGATTTACTAAATACGGTTGAATTCATGCCATAAACGTATATTCGGGAATGGAAACATATCATATTTTTTTGTGTTTCTGTATATTGAGAAAGATTCATACCTAAGTAACTCGACCTCTACAGACAAAGATAAGTACTCGGTTTCCAATACAAACTATTGATTTTGAATTTGAATCATAAAAGATGTGAGGTATGTATCTATACCTATAAGCCTGTAGTAAAATGAACCCACTATACTTACGCACAAACGCACAACCTCTAGAGCTTGACAAACGGACTTCAATAAATAATGAACAAGTGTGTAAACAATGTGTTGAGTATCTATTGACCTTCCCAGAAAGACTGTTAAAATTTCTGTATTTCCTACAACTTCAGATAATATACAGACATGCGTATCAGTTATGTTCTGTGATGATACATTTCTATAAGGACTACCTCTTAGTTCGTGATACTAGTTTTTTAACTCACAAAAAGTCATGTTTGAAGAATGAGCTCATTCTGCCAGAAACTCCTGTCATGGTTTCTTTCAAAGCATTTCCTTTCAAATAAATTCTTTACATATAAAAGTATGCCATCAATGAAGATTTATCTTAAAAGATGCTATATAACAATAAAAAGATTTGGTATGATTGCCAGTGAGACACCTCTCCACCAGAGACCAAATAACATAGAAGATCAACAATAGATCATCGTACCGCCTTCAACAATGAACACAACCAATACTGCATAGCAAGCTATAAAAGACCACGAAATGACAAATGTAAAACAATTCAAACGAGAAAACTAACGACCTAACTTGTGTACAAAACAATAAACGAAAAATAAAAACAAATACAGCAATAAACGACAACCACTAAATTACTCCTGAATAGCGACAGGCGCATACATAATGGGGCGGGGTTGAACATGTTTGCGGTGCACAACCCTCCCCTAACCTGGGACAGAGGTGTAACAGCACAACAGAGGAACAAATTGTGAAAATAAGCCGAAAATGGCTTAACTCATCATATCAATAAAAAGCAACAAAACAACTAGCAAAAACACTAGACACAAAGTACAGATCTGAGAGTACTCCCAGTTACTATTTATCATACTTGACTAAGGCAAAAAGAACGTGTCTTTAGAGATAATTAAATGGATATGTTAAGCTTATAAAAATATGCATATGGTCCTTCAAATACATACAGTAGCAGAAAATGTTTACGCTGTCAAAGTGCATTAAGTTGCTTAAGGCGACACAAGGACCATTTTGAACTTCACTTAAGGTGAAATCACTTTAGTTTACCGTTACTAGCTTTGCATTTTCTAGAAATATGATAAAAATCTTTCTCTTTTCATGAATTGAAAGATAATCAAATATAAAGGAATATGCCTATCATCCACCCCCTAAAAATGGATAAAACTTAAAAGGATGTGGCTGTTTAAAGGAGTGTGGATATACAAATTCTGAGATAAAGGCCGATATAGTTTAACAGCTTGAAACTATACATGAGAATCAAGAATACTAGTAGTATGGACATGCACATTCGTTGAATGGGAAGGAGCAGCGATATAAAATCGCTCTGCTAACGGTTATTGTCGTCAAAAGTAGTTTCATCTATATGCATTGCACAGATTGGAATGTTAGTTTTGTTAATGTAAGAATTGAGCTTTCATAACTTATCAGCACAAGAAGGACAACTCTGGTGTGTTGAACATTTACTCTTTGTCCATTTTTTTTTTCGAATTTTCGAATTTCTGTTAAACATATCAAAAATATAAAACATACAAGATGCGCGATTGAAACAATTATCTTGTAAGAAAGGGGACATATTGCATATATAATATCACTTTACGTCTTATAAAATGACATCAGAAAACTAAACTTGGAACAACTAGCAGTATGATATATAGATAATTATAGACAAATATGATAAAAATATACTGGCAAGCCGGGTTTGGTACATTCAGTGTAGAAGTAGAAAAAATAGAAGAATGATATTTGTGTCGTTGGGTTGATGTCTCATTGACGTATATTTATAGATATATTATTGTATGCAGTTATCAGAAATCGTGGTCAGTAGAACAATAAAAATTTCATACATAAGTTGTAGAGATCCTCAGTTTGATAGTATAACAAGAACAACATATTTTACGAATCCTGTAGGTGTTTGAAGATACTCCAAAATCATTCGATTGATTGATTGTTGGTGTTTAACGCTACTTTCAGCCCTCATGGCTATATCAAAGTAGTCAGTTTTTATTGGTGGATGAAGCCGGAGTACCTTCGGCATGAGAACTGGTAATTCTGGTCAATTAAGATAGTAGAAGTCGAACGTAGCTGCCAAGAGCGTGTTTCAAACTCACAACCTCAATTATTTACAGGCTAGTAATTATAATTACTGTTGATGAACTGCTTAGACTACTCGACCCCGAAATCATTAGAAAAGTAAAAACATTATTTAACATGAGACTGAAAAGAAGACTGAATCACCAACCTGGTACATATGAACATACTTAGATTGGCACCCACTTCCGATGTCAACTCCTCTCTTAATTCACGATTTCGAAGTCTGAAGACAAACCATGAATCATCTGTGCACATTATTAATTTAATTTATGAAAACTTGAAAAAAGAGATGTTTGCATGTTCATATGGAATCCAATGTTGAACTATGTTATGCGGTGACGGCCATCTTTGATTTTGAAACGCCATAAATGTCAAATAAATTTGGTGGATCATTTTATTGACATTCATGCATAATATTAATCAATTTGAAATACTTTCCAAGAAAGACAAACAAATGTTTGTATTCTTTCCTTAAAGGGTTATATTAGGGCCTTAAATGCCAACCGGCATGAAGAGGATAGTTGAGGTGAAGGTGAGGGTTCTATATTAAATAGCCGTTGTTGCCATCATTGATTACAGATCAGTATAAAATGTTGATATCTATGCATATTATTTACATAGTTATAAACAGTCTTTCTAGTAACACTATAGAAACACCTATAAGTAATAATTTACATTTTCTATACGTTAGTTAAGTAAAGCAGATAACAGGAAAAAACTGCTAAAACGCAAGTGCTTTCACATCTTTGATGTTATATTACACTCATGTTTCGCAACTTGACGCTTTTTGAACTCACCTGTTCATTAGTACAAGTAAAATCAATTACATTAAAAATCAGATCTGCATATTGAACTTAATATTTTTATTTTTGCTAATAGCATTTTTACAATTTACCAAGATGAGTATGTTCGCATGTGATAAATGAAACACTGTTTCTTTGATTTGAATACAAATGTTCTTTCAGAAATAATGCATTTCTATTGCACAAAATCTTTTGCTGATACACCCACCTGTCTTAATTTTTTTTAACGGCAACTGCACATTGAAATTGTTTAGAGTCTCTGGTGTCCAAAATGATGCGATGATCCACTATACGGCGACGAAGAAAGAGTCTGATAGGTTGGCGAATAATATGAATCTGCGGTACTTGATGACATTGGATGGCTGAACGGTGCAGCGACATGCTGTCCAAAACTTGTACCAAATGCAGAATTCAGAGAATGTTCACTTTGAGTTTGAGGAGCATATCCTGAAAATGGCGTCCATTTAAATGCATTTGTATCAGCTGTAAATGGATATTGATGAGAATGTAATGGCGGTGGAACCGGAAGTGCAGAATGAGACCCATACAGGTGACCAAACGGGTTTTTGCTGTAGTCGTCTGATTTTTTATTCTTTTTGAAACGTGATGATCTTCTCAGGAAACTGCCATTGCCAAACATATCCTTACAATCTGGATGAATTGCCCAATAACTTCCCTTTCCTGGGCGTCCCGCAGCACGTGGAACTTTAATAAAACAATCGTTTAGAGAAAGGTTATGTCTTACGGAATTCTGCCATCTTTGTTGGTCTTTTTGATAATATGGAAATCGATTCATTATAAACTGATAAATTTCATTTAACGACATCATTCCTGTTGGCGCACTTTCAATTGCCATCGTTACTAAGGCAATGTATGAATATGGAGGTTTCACATCAGCCGAAAATTGTCTAGCAGCTTGTGAAGATATTGATTTTAAGTTCCCTGATGTCTGTTGTCCGGATGTAGACAAGATTTCTGACTCCTGGTCATAACTGTTATCATCTGTTGAATTCGGAGTTGTTTTTCCTGTTTCATAATAAACACTTTCTCTTCGTCCAAGCTTTTCTTCCTTACAATTATTAAAGTTCCCTGGCACTTGGTTATGTGTTTCTGTATTGTTTATGGTGCCAGGTTCAATTAAACGAAATGATTCCATGACCCAATCTGTGTTAAGCTAAATATATTTTTTTCGTTCTCTCATATATATTATACTCTAAATAATATTAGCACAGGACAATATACGTTACTCTTACAGTCATATCTTAAATGTCTCATGTATGTAAAATTCTAAGTAGTAATAAAAACATAATAGCCATTGAAAAGGCGAATAATATGAGAAGAAAGTTAAATTTCAAAATCGTTAATAGCGCTTCATTTCTATTCTTTAAAGTTTTAATGTTCTCAAAACATTAATTGCCTTTTGCCACTGGGAAATATCAATATTTTGTTTGTGTATTATTACATGTATAGACTAATCAGAGAAAGATTGTCAATTTGAGTCCATGGGTTATGTCTTTAAGAGCCTCATTGCCAATCACATGCATATGCATATACATATTGATGAAAAACTATATAAGAATATATAAGTTTCAGGTTCAACTCAAAATACATGATTTTGAGAATTTCAATTTTATATAAACTTGTGCATTGCAATGCATGTCTGACTCATTAAAATGTCACTATAGGGGCAAACTCCGCCTAGTTATCGAGTTCAGCGAGAAGAGAACCTAGACTAGAGTATAACGAGAGACCCATTTAGAAAAAAAGGTCACGATATTACAATAACAGTAGTTTATAAATTTTGACCCTCTGTGGAAAATATTGATAAAGGGTCAAAATTTATAAACTACTTGTATTGTAATATCGTACGGAAAAGAGCACGAACACTTCAAATATGTTAAACAAAGCGCCTGTGACTAGGATTGGCAACATTGAAGCATTTCAGAAAAGGTGCACTGTTATGAATTGTGCAGCTACAGATGTAATTTAACAAAGCGTTGATAGTTTTATTCTTTAAATCATTATAAAAGAAAAAAAGCCCGAACGGTTCATTTTACCGTGCCATTAAGCTTAATTTCACACGTTATTTTCAACCTATATTAAATTAACCATTATAATGTTTGTTTTGGGATTTTCGTTTAAACTCTTTCATTCAAACAAAATGTGGTAATCATTAAATGACTTTAAACCCTTAGATAAATAAAAGTAATCATTTAAAATAAAAGCAACCGAAATTTGTATAACGTGTTACCGTATTATGTGAACAAAAAGTTGAAACAACATAAAAATGCCAACTGTATATGTACGACTTTCAGTGTGAATAAAGCGATCGAAAGTTACTTGACTCAAAGAAGACTGAGCATTCAATTTTTGCTATCAATATTTAAGAAAAATCTATGCATTTGTAACTGGAGATTTAGTGATTTAAGACACAATTAAGAATTTTTTTCGTCGATTTTATGTTCTTTTTATACAAATGTGTATCTATTTTGAAGAAATAAATTCAGTTATATTTAAAAAAGTAAAAGAGAAAAATGCAGCTTCTTATATCTATGTTTTTGATTTTTAACTGTACCTTGACCTGAAAAGAAAATCCTTGAACAAACAATATAGTAATAATAATGGTTTATTTAATACAGACTGAAAATAATAGCATTTTAAAAACTTCAAAGATTGAAAGAATTAGTCGAAATTTATTTCGTCATGGTTTACGTAGAAAAATTAAGTATAGTATTTTGACAAAAAGTCAGGACACTCAAGCTAAATTAAAAGATGAGAGAAAAAAAATAAAGTTTGTTCATTATGATGTAAATGAAATATTTATGGTAAGAAATGTCTAGTAGTTTCAAATAAAAAAACACATCTATTTTATGTTATATTATAAGAAAGAGTTATATTTACTAACATTGATTTTGTTTTCAATAAATTGATATGCTTTGTTATACAGTTATGAATTTTTTTTAGGCCTATATCATGTCGATACTTAAATTTTTGCATTGCCAAAGGTCATCATGTTCTAAGTCTTTACACTGATTCCATTGGCTGTGAACTGATTGATGATTAAGTCTGGTAAAATAGCATTTATTTATTAGTTGTAGTGAGCTTTATGATATAGTTTTCAGTAACTGCTAGTCTCTTAGGTCGGTGCTTTGGGTCTTTTGTCTTATTGTTGGTTGCTGTTGTGCTTCGTAGCGATCAGATGAGTCAAGTCCTTTCCAACTGAAGCTATTGGTTGTAGTCGATATGCATGCCATCTTAAAATTATTACTAAACAACATTCCTGATTGGTTGCCTGTTGGGGTGGTTAAGCTTTTATTGGCTTGAACGAGTTCTAAAATTTAGAATACGCCAGGATTTGGGAAGAAATTATAAACAGTTGGTCTGATTGGTTGCTTATTTGTGTGGTTAAGCTTTTATTGGCTTGAATGAGTTATAAAATTTAGAATACGCCAGGATTTGGGAAGAAATTATAAACGGTTGGTCTGATTGGTTGCTTGTTGGTGTGGTTAAGCTTTTATTGTATTGACTTGAATGAGTTATAAAATTTAGAATACGCCAGGATTTGGGAAGAAATTATAAACGGTTGGTCTGATTGGTTGCTTATTTGTGTGGTTAAGCTTTTATTGGCTTGAATGAGTTCTAAAATTTAGAATACGCCAGGATTTGGGAAGAAATTATAAACGGTTGTTCTGATTGGTTGCTTGTTTGTGTGGTTAAGCTTTTATTGGCTTGAATGAGTTATAAAATCTAGAATACGCCAAGATTTGGGAAGAAATTATAAACGGTTGGTCTGATTGGTTGCTTGTTGGTGTGGTTAAGCTTTTATTGTATTGACTTGAATGAGTTCTAAAATTTAGAATACGCCAGGATTTGGGAAGAAATTATAAACGGTTGGTCTGATTGGTTGCTTGTTTGTGTGGTTAAGCTTTTATTGGCTTGAATGAGTTCTAAAATTTAGAATACGCCAGGATTTGGGAAGAAATTATAAACGGTTGGTCTGACAGTATGGGTACTCGAGACCCGATCGATGAATATGTTGCTATAGGATCACATATCGTTAGATAAGCACTGATAGTCAAAATTGATACATGTATTGTTAGGCAATTCCTTTCCTTTAATCTGTATAACACAGTTTATTTCCTATGTATGATGAGTATATATGGTGTTTATATCATATCATCGGTCATTATCTTATATATTCTATGAAAATGATGGCTCTGTTCGCTGTGTCGTTTACTCGATATTGACCTATAATAAGTTATTAGACATTTATTAAAAGTAATTAGTTAAACTATCATTTCTGCTATCACATTATACTATTTAGAAAGTATGTGTCAAAAATGGCATTAAAATAGTTAAACAACCAACACACAAGTAGAAGTATATAACGTGCAACCATCGGAACACGTGAATTTTAAAGCATAATGATTAATTTGTGGGTTACTCTCGCTGTGTACTTTAGGTGATGATGAAGTTGAGACGGTATCAATTTACTTGTCCCGAAGGAAATGATTTAATTCATAACAGAGAGTAAACAACTTCAGTCAGAGTTGACGGTATAGCGTGTCAGCCAATCAACGAGATTCCAATTTAACCTCCTCTGTTTAAGTTTGTATAACTATTTTATGTTGCATATGCGGGACCCTAAAAACGGATCATATTCCCTGTTAGGTCGCATTTTATATCATATTACTAATAATAATGGAACTCAAATCAAATGAAAGTATCCGAAAATCAAAAATGATTATAAATTCTTTTGATATAATTACTTAATGAGTACCAATTTTACCACTGTCGGTGTTGAAATATCTACTAAATAACGATTTGACTAGGTACAAAATGTAAACTGCACTAAATAGACAAAAACTCCTAAGTTGGTTGATCGAGTCATAATGATAAAGCGCGGTATGTGCGTCATAGATATTTATTAATGGCTAGCCATAAATATTTATGCTTAGGCATAAATCGATTTATGCCTAACCATAAATTCATTTAAGGCTAGCCTTAAATGATTTATGCATAGGCATAAATACTTATGGCTAGCCTTAAATGAATTATGCTTAGGCATAAATACTTATAGCTAGCCTTAAATTGATTTATGCCTAGGCATAAGTACTTACGCCTAGCCATAATTCGATTTTTGCCTAGGCATAAATACTTATGGATAGCCATAAGTCATTATGCCTAGGTATAATTAAATTTTTTTTACCAATCATATGCCATGTTAGAACTGTGATTAATATAGCGAAATAATGGTTTTTCACGTTTTCTTTAATTACTGTACATGTACAGATGAAATTGAATTGGTAGAATGTTTTTGATTTGTTTTCTTGTTTGTATATAAACAAGAAACTAAAACATAAGTCGTCTAAACTGCGCATGTATACTAAACAAAAAAATGCTCATTATCGGATATATGGCACAGAAAAAAATAAAGTAAATTGTCTAAAAGTCCGTTTATTTTACACGAATTTGCTCGACATAGCAGTTTTGAGAAAATCTGTGTCAGGGTGCTGGTGATTTTTGAACATATGTTGATATTATTGTGATTTAAATGACAAAATCAACTGCCCGTGGCAACACATGTATTCAAAAGTAATTGCGACACCGATTTGAACCATAGACACGTTCTTTATTTATTGTACAAACTGTTTAAGCGTTTCAAATATCGAAACTACATATTATTTAAAAGGCAACACAGTTTTTTCAATATCATTTGAAAATGTATTTCATTATTGCTAGCATATACATTCATTTTTTTTTCAATAAAGCTTGCTTCTCAAACACAATTCATATATATCGTATAAATGCGTGTTCTATAATGATAAAGCCTATGTTACGTTGAATCTGATTGGACAAGGCTATATATTATGCCTAGGCATAAATATTTATGGCTAACCATAAATAGATTTATGGCTAGCCTTAAATAATTAAGGCTAGGCATAAATCGAATTATGGCTAGGCATAAGTATTTATGCCTAGGATTAAATCGATTTAAGGCTAGCCATAAATAATTATGTCTAGGCATAAATCGATTTAAAGCTAGCCATAAATAATTATGCCTAGGCATAAATCATTTAAGGCTAACCTTAAATGGATTTATGGTTAGGCATAAATCGGTTTATGCCTAGGCATAAATATTTATGGCTAGCCATAAATAAATATTAATGACGCACATACCGCGTCATATAATGATGATTGTGGCTATATTGGGTTAAAATTTTATGTATCCAAGAAAGAGTTTTCAGCACATACTTTTGACTGGTGAATATATACGTACACTTACCTAATGTCTGTATAATTTTGACCTTATGTATTTTATTGAAAACAAATTCTAAGCAATAATCAAGAATCCTTGTATATAATCATACATTATGTAGTTATGTCAATTATTAATATTTAAATAATATCACTCAAACACTGAGAGTTTTGGAACAAAACAAGTATTCCATTTAGTTAAATTAGGACACAATGAGAATGTTTAATTTCTACTGGTGTTTAAATCTAAATCAGTGACAAAAAAGGGACATTATAGTGTCAAATCAAACTTGTGTACCACCTATTACCATGAAATTAGAAAAGTTCCCAAAAGGGTGCCATACATATCATTTTTTCAAAATAAAAAAAAAAAAAACGAATGAAATCAAGATTAGTTTTTCATATTCAATATATTATTTTTATCAAGTAAGGTATGGGTAAACTAAGTTGTTTTAAAGATGAAAATTGACTGATTTCTAATCAGATTGAATAGGAATCTATGTGGCATCATGTTATTTTTGACATAATTAAGATTCAAAATCAGAGGCCAAATAATCTTTATTTTTTAGTTATGAAATTTGAAGAGATGTGGCCTTGTAGTTTTAGAGGAAAACAAAAAACCAGAAACCCTGTCAATGATTGTCTTTTGTAATATCTTAATGTTTTTTTTTGTTATTTGAAAAATTTGTGTTTGATTGAATCCTTTGTTATTATCTGTAAATTTCATTCATAACTTTTTTGGACTTGGAGCAATTAAGAGCTTGACATATTGTATATATATATATAGACACTGGTCTATTATTGAAACCTCGTCCTCAAGCCTTTAGGTTATTTGTGTCTATGGGTTGATGTCTCATTGACATCCCCTACATCACTTTTTATTCAACTAAAATACAAAATAAGACAATGAAGAATTTTTAACACAGAGTTTGGTTTATAAATTTGGTGAAGTTATTTCAGAGGGGAAAATGAAAATTCCTAAAGATAACTGATGATAGATATATAATGACAACAAGATACAGTTTACACTGGCCATTTGATCAGGTGAGCTAATAGTGGACTTCTCTCTGGTTCTGTATAAAATAAGGCTTCTTAGAATTCAAAACGTTTTGACATATGACTTACAAAATTTATGTATCCCTCTATCACGTCTCTGTTTGATGGTTTCAATTTTTTCCTCTATGAAATATGGAAATGTAATAATGCTATAAGACATGATTCTTTAAGGTAGCATATAAGATTACAGGAGGAATAAGACATCATTTAATCCTGAAATTTTATATTTGCTCAAATGTGATGTTACACCTGTTCAGTGTCCCAGTTTAGATATGGGAGAGTTGAGAGCTCACATACATTTTTAACACCACCACGTTCTTTATGTGCCTGTCCAAAGCCTGCAGACTTTAGTCCAGTGGTTGTCATTGGTTACTGTCTGCCATATTTTCTCTTTTTATTAATGTTATCAGGTCATTAGCTTTTTTTTCACATATTATTATCTGGCATTAAAGGGGCATTAGCTGTCGAATTCATGTTCACTGATTTGACTCGTTTCTCATATTTGATTCATAACATATTAAAATGTATATCCAAATTACAAAAAGTCCAAAAGAAACAATTAACAATGCATGAACTTGTTACAATATATCAGGATTTTGTGTGTATTTTAGATTTATAATAAACCGTCCAGATGACCTCCTAAGAACGTTGTTGTCAAATGACCCTATATAAACCTAAATTTTAATTCAAATACACAGACAGCACATGCAACAATAAAATGACTATTTTTCTAGGTCTGTTTGATTTCATGTCATAGAATAAAAAAATATGTAAATCATCCATTTACCTGTAAAACAAGGATTTTTTGTGGACCAAATCATTCAAGGAAATGGTTCTTCTCTGTGGCTCTCTTGTTTCACTTTTCAATTCTGACATTCTTTTCTTTTTAATAATTGCACATGTATAGATTTGTATAAACAATCTCCAGCTACGATTCAATTAAATTCACATCCAAACAAATGAAGTTGAATTATTGACTTGCAAGCCAAAAATGCATCAGAGATATTTTTCATTAGCTTATTTTGACAAAACTGAACCAAAATGACTGCTAACGGAAATATTATTTCAATATTCTGCTTTACAGATGTTTAAAAAAACAAAAAAAAACCAATTGTCTGAACCATAGATTATGTCCCTTTAATAGCTTACTATACAGTATGAGTTTTGTTTATTGTTGACCTTTGCTTGTTAGCATCCTTGTCCTTTTGTCTTTTGGTGGATTGCGGTCTCATTTGCAATCATTCCACATCTTCTTATTCAATAAGATTTTTATTTTATTTCTCAAGTTTTAAATGTTGCATTGCATTCCTGTAGAAGTAAAGTAAAGGCATACCGTTGGTTTTCCCGTTTGAATGGTTTTACACTAGTAATTTTTGGGGCCCTTTAAAGCTTGCTGTTCGGTGTGAGCCAAGGCTCCGTGTTGAAGACTGTACATTGACCTATAATGGTTTACTTTTATTAATTTTGACTTGGATGGAGAGTTGTCTCATTGGCACTCATACCACATCTTCTTATATCTATATACAATAGTAAACTGTTGACAAATATGGCTCACCTTTTTGTAATTATGATAGTATAATGCCAATCTTGATATTAAAATGGCAATAACTTTTATGGGGGGGGGGGGGGCTAGGTTGAAAAATTTTGTCCTGCATTTTTTTTAGGTTGTAATCTCTGTCCTGCCTTTTTATTTTTCACTCTATTCAGTCCTGCCTTTTTTTTTATTAGTTTATCCTGACTTTTTTTACATAAATTGTCATCCGGCCTTTTTTTTTTTGCCAAGTTGGTCATCCTGCCTTTTTTTTTACTCAAAACTCCTGTCCTGCCTTTTTTTCAAATTTCATCCTAGCCCCCCCCCCCATAAAAATCAAATGGTAGCTCCCTTAGTTCCCTTTAAACTCACTTAAACACAAACTTTAACTTGTAAACAATGCAAAACATTCAAAGTCCTAGACCATGACTTTGGGGGCTGGACCAAATAATCTCCATGGAAATGAGATGTGCCAATGCTAATACAACTGCATACCAAATATCATAAATTAGCTACTTGTGGTTCCCCTTAAACTGTACTAATCACAAACTAATACATGTTATCTAAGCAAATGTTTCAAAGTTAATAGACCATGACTGAGGGGGCAGGGCCAAATAATCTCCATCGAAATGAGATGCACCAATGCTTATACAATGGCATACCAAATATTATTGACCTACCACTAGTGGTTCCTCTTAAACTGATCTAATCACAAACAAATACATTGTTGATGACGCTGCCACCCCCGCTGATGCCAGAAACAGCATACCTAAGTCTTGCTTTTTGACTCTATCAAGGTGAGACAAAAATAAAATAAAACCCAAAGTATTATGAGACAGATTTAATGTTTATCACATGACTATAATATGATATAATGATTTCATAAAAATATCAACATATTAATCACTAGTTAAATCATTCATCAATGAGATACAATAACATACCACACAACCATACTTGTGATGTACTAATTGTTTTAAAAAACACACCCAACATTATAACACAGTACAAAACTAATCATCAAATAACCTTTATATGCTTTCTATATATAGTAACAGAAGAGATTTGCTCTTAATAAAACTTCTGGTAGTCATTATGCAGAAATCTTCTATTATGTAGTCACAATAACATTAAAATAAATGCCCTACTTCTAAGGCGTTTAATTTTTATGACAAATTACAACTGTTTTCTTTGGAAGAGGCAATTATTCATAGTGAATCGTATAATCATATTCATGTACATTCAATCTTAAGTAGGATTTAATTTGAAGTCTTATTCCAAACTTTTTATCTTTTTTTGTAATAAAACAGAACATATGTTTTAAAAGACCTAAGTAGTCAGCAGGACTACTAAAGGTAAAAATACAAAGTCCTTTCCAACAAAACTAATGGACTATTATGAAATCAAACCCTGTGCAAGTATTCAAAACTTTTAGATGGTACTCAGCTTAACCATATCCACTTGAATACTTTTAAAAAATCAAATATCCCAACAATGTATTTTTCAAGATTTTCAAAAAGATGCTGAACCTATCATGCCTATAAACTAGAAAGAAAAAATAAAAAATAGCACCAACTAACCGTTTAATATATAAGAGTAACAAATATAGAAAGGGCTTTCAAAACTTCTCTTGGAACTTGTGTGAAATGCTGGCTTTAAATGACACTTATTTGGTATTGAGAAGGACAATCAAATTTTCTCTTTTAAATGAAGATCCCACATTCATCTACCATTTATAAACAAAACGTTTTTTGCACACTTTAGATATTGTGTTCCTTTTAAAGCATGTTTAATCTTTATTATATCTTAAATCTTACATTATGCTCTCTTCACCATAAGAAAACCACTTTTTAAATGATTTATCCAAGTTTTCTTTGTTTCACTACAAATTAAAACATGTATTATTCCTGAACTAAAAATCATGTTGACCTTAAATTATTTGCACTGCTTCAAACATGTTTAGTTTTTACACTAATCATGATCTCACTTTTCATTCAATCAATCTTACACTTGACAACATTAAAATTAATATGTAGAATATTATTCAACTTAATACATTTTATGTAAAAAAATATTCTTGATGATTGATAATTGTAATAATAATTTCACTAAAAGAATATTCAAACTTATTACACAAATCAGAAATAATAACATTTAAATATAAATAATATATGATCAAATATGGTTTAAAAAAAAACGATGACATTATGAACAGATATATTTTGGCAAAGCAAAATAATTATCACATAGATAACTCGTTTTGGCAATGCTTGACGATCATTAACATAAGGATATAACACTCAGATTATTTATAATATTTCATACATTCTTACAATGATCTATAACAAGAATTTGAGAAGATTCACTCAGAAGAATCAAATTAAAGATTTGAAAAAATGCATCAGATAAAATAAAATAAATAAAGTTGTTTTAGCACTTTTAAGTCGTGTAAATCATGCAAGAAAATACAAATCTGCATTCAGAGAATTCAATTTTAGGCTTTTTAAACTTGGGGTAATTTTGCCCACAAAATTAAAAATTAAAAATGCTTGTACCAAAGCTAATCACAATGTACATGTATAATGAAGAAAATTTCCAAATTCTGAAAACTGAAAATAATGGGAATCTGCTTAAAAAAGGTAGAATAGAATCAATTTGTTGGAAAGGAAATCTAATATTCTCATTCAGTATTAATTTACATGCAAATGGTACAATCCAAAAGAATAACACATATTTTTATTATATGTTTGTGTGATTTGAAACATTTTGTTGTTTAATCCTGAAGCTACAATAAATACACAGTAAAAAAAAGGTTTAACCTTCATAAAATATGATGGAATACAAGATTAGTTAAGCCTTTGAGGAGGGATATGTTTTCAATCTGTATCATTGCCAGAAAAATTAACTCCAATAAATGCATAACATAAATATGTGCTGTTCAACATGTCAAGTGAGCTCATGATGATTTTTTATGGCCCAATGTATTTATTTTTCTTATACATGTTAAAGGTATATATAAAAAAATTCAACAATTTGGAAAACTTTTATAGCATCACAGACACTGTGTCCACTGTTTTTAAAAGAGAAATTATCAGTGTAAACAGTTTTACAATTTGAACTTTGTATACTTTCTATATATTCCATAAATACCAGATCAAAAAAATCTTATGTAACTTATTTTACAAATATAAAAATCGAATACTTAAACACCATGAATCATTTTTGATGAAGTGGGAACTTACAATGTTAATAGTGTATATAACCTTGCATACTTTTCTTGTCATTCACATGTACTATTTACCATCTTTAAAGCATACCACAAAACCTGACAGTAAATATGTATTTTAAGATGTCAGTACTATCCTCCTTAACTTGGGTCAAAGAACTGCACCAATATCAAGCACTTATTTGACATTACTTATATAATGCTACACTGTTAAGCCGTAGAACTGTCATTAAGTAAATCTATTTCTTTTTGTTCTACATTTGTTTCCATACTAGAATTACCATATAGAGGATTAGCGAATGAGTTCGGAGACGTTTCACTACTAAAACTGTCATTTTTAGCATAATATGCATTGCCATTTTTGGATAATTTTAACTTATCTCCATCTTGAGATGGACGAGAACCTTCTGCATAACCATTGCCTGTTGGCTGAAGGCTAAGATCATACAGTTGATTATTCATACCAAGACTGTCTTGGTTGTTTTCTATAATATCATCATGGAAACGTTCATGTGGAACACCTCGTTTGAATCTTCTAATCCTTACAATAAAGACAACAAGTAATGCTATCAAAATTATCACAAATATGACGATCGGCACTGCTATCACTACACCCAAATTATTTTCAGATTTTTGTTGTTTACTTGGAATCACAGTAACATTAGAATTTGTGGTTGTAACTGGAATAATAACTGTCGTTGTTTTAGTTGTTGTTGATGTGCTAGTTGTCCTGGTGGTTGTTGGTTTTGTAGTTGTGGCTCGTGTTGATGTAGAAGTTTGTTGAGTTGAAGTAGTTGGTCTTGTTGTTGTTGGGGATGGTGTTGGTTTCTGAGTACTTGTTGTCCTGGTTGTTGAACTTTGTGAAGTTGTTTCTGTTGTTGTAGATTGGACTGTTGTTGTTGTTGATCTTAATGTTGTTGTTGTTGGAGTAGCTGTACTTGTAACTAATATTGTAGGTATTGTTGGAGCTGAAATAAAAAAAGATAAAAATATCTTTATGTTGAACATCTGAATATTCAATATGCAAATATTTCAATTCTTTTTATCAACTGTGGCATGTATTGAAAATTTTTTTCATTTAAACACAAGATTTTCTTTCATTTCTGTATTTGAAAAAGTTGTTTCTACAATTCATTTATAAACTTAAGCAGCTGATTACAAATGATTCATATCCATTAACTGGCAAAAAAAATGGACTATTTGTTCCTACATACAGTCTTCAGTTCACAACTTTATCCACTAAAATATTATATTTCTCACTCAATATATTTAATTTTTTTTTAATTTTGGTATCAAATGAATTTATTTTAGAGGAGAAACTACTTCGCTGCACAGGAAATCTCAAAATATTATGTAGAAGTTTTTTATGCAAATAACCAAACACATTTTTGCATGAAACATTGAAGCATTTCTTTCTTTGAATTTTGCTACCAAACTGTCTTAACACTTGAAACTTATTGAAAAAACAATACTAAAAAATATCTTATATGTAGAGTAAATATAAATTAACATAACATATAATTAAACATGCACCCACCATGGAGTTGACCTAATACAGTACCTGAATAGATTACAGATATCATGAATGAATGAATTACAGATATGTTCAATGCTGGAAACATTCCATTGTCTCTATTTATGTGTGAATGTGTGTGTTTTGGGGAGGTCGAGTAAATGCCTTCTTCAAATAATGATTAAACATAATTACTGACTATTGACTAATTATTGAGATTCAGGATCATATTTTCAAAAATATTGTTTAACTGTAAATTGTAATACTGTGTTTAGTTATTGTCAAGTTGAATGTTTGATTCATTTACAAATCATTTGATGCTTCCTTTTTTCCCTTTTTGCTAAAAATTTAGCTTCACGATTTACTTTACTTTGAAACAAGTTAACATGTTGATTGCAAATTTTATTTTCTACATACCCATACATATAACTCCAACATCCTCAGTGTGGTTACAGTTATGTGTACCTATCCCTCTGTGTCCACACTTATAAAGGGATTCTTCCGTCCCTTTACACTTCACATTGTCAAACCAGATTGGTCCAGATCCTGTTCCAAACTTTCCTCCTCGAACCACAGTCCCACCAGTAAAGTTGAGTTGTCGACACACTACACTGGCAGCCTGGTCATTCCAGAAATCATCACACACTGTACCCCATTTATTTGGTCCCTTAACGTACACTTCCACACGCCCTGAGTATTTGTCTTTACCATTCATCAAACGTATTTGTGTTGGCTCTGAAATAAGTTGGTAAAACTGTCTTATGAAAAAAAAGAAACAATCTACATGTACGTAATTTGGTCACTGGTGGATAGTTGTCTCATTGGCAATCATACTACATCTTCTTATTTTTACTTGAATTGATTTGGTTTTTTTTCTTTGAAATACTGGTGTTTTATGATGATTCATTATTGCATTTTCCAAAGATTTCATGAATAAAGGGAGCCTAGACTCAAAAGTCTAAAACAAATACTTTCTTTTGTAAAAGCAAATAACTAAACCCTACACACAACTGAATATCCTCAAAGTTTTTCTTGAAGCATGAATATTGGTACATGAACTAAAGAAATTCAACTAATTCACAGCAATTTTTCTTTTTAATTTCTTTATTCTTGATTAAAAAAAAACAGCCCATCCACACCCAAACAAAAGCATCACTTCCTCCTGGCAAAAAAAAAACTGTATTAAGAGCAATATGTTGGCTATACATTGAAAATATGTTTATTAGCAAGAACATTTGTGACAATGCCTACTATATATAGCTGAAATGAAACAAAATAAACCATTTCTAATTAAAAAAAAGAATATGCCCAGGTCGTAATATCCCTTAACCACTGAAGGAGGGGCATGTTTATATGTAAATCTTCCACTACAGATGTTTGAAAACTTGACATTTAAATGTAAAACATACCAACAGTTTCATTAAAACATTCTGTGTAAGCCCCTGGTTCATCTGTTCTCCTCATGCAAAGATCATCCAAGAATGAAGAATTAAATCCTGTATTCAGACATGTCATCATCGTCTTTTCCGAACCCTGACAGAAAAATCCTGTTATCCAACGAGGTAATGATGTAAGAGTTTTGTTGACATTGTAGTTGACTATACCATCAGTGTAATGGAGTTGTTTACACATGACTTTAGCATCAGCAGTCTTCCATGACCATGAACAGACTGAACCCCAGGATCCATCGTAACTTATTTCTACTCTGCCCACAGATGGATTCTTACTTCCCTGTAACCTGTACTGTATACCTAATAAAAGAAAACATTTAAAAATTATTCTTTTTGTATATTGTTTTAAAATTTCCTTGCAAAACATTATGAAATAATTAACTTATTTTCCCTGATACCTTTTTTTTCACATTTAGGCATTTTTAGCCAAATCACAGCAATTTTTGTTTTAATTTTCTTACCATGCTAACTTAATTGAAAAATTCATGTAAGAGGAGATGAAAGTTCAAAATAGTTGCAACAATTTATTTACACATAATTTATTTACTCACAAAACAAGAAGTTCTGCAAATTAATTACTTACAACAATAAGTTGGTTTACAGTTAATTCATCTGAACAGAAACAATTCTCTAATAGGTCACTCAAGTCATTTTACTGTGTAAATAAATTTGAAGTCTTAGATAAAGGTTCCTAGAACTGTTATATTTTTACGATTGAAATATGAAGACAACTTACCTGTGGAATTGTAACACAATACTCCAGCATCATTTGAATTAAAGCTACAAGAATCTAGGTCAGCCTTCGCAGAATGAACACAATCAGCTAAGGAATTCTCCAGGCCTGTACATTTCACTCCTCTCATTAATATTGGCTTTCTGTTCTTCATAATATGCAAGTAAGCCACACCTCCAGCATAACCTAGCTCTTTACATGTGACATTAGCATCACGATCATCCCAGTCCTGCATACAAACACGCCCCCAAACACCATTAACTCTGACCTCTAGGATACCATGAACAGTACTGGCTAAACTGTCTGAGGCTATTCGAGGTGCAAATCCTACAAATATACCCAGAATTTTGATGACTCAACATACATTTGCGTAAATCCACTTTATTAGGACTCTGATGGATAGTTGTTTCATTTGCAATCATACTATGTACTAATGATAAATCAAGTTTCTGGATAAACCATTGGTAAACTGGTTTAACTAAAAAAACATATTTCGCTGATCCCTTTCTACCATAAATGAAATTTTAAGTTTTCTTTTAAAAGGAAGACCCTAATAAGACATCTTTTTTTCTCTCACATAGTATAGTTCACTATATATCAAACATGATTTTTAAATTAAGCATAAGAAAAAGATATGGGAAGACATTACACACAGTTTTTAACAGACCCTCTTTTGTAAATCATTTTTATAGGTTTCATAACGAGTGAGAATTGGATATCGCTTGATATAAACTCCAGTTATTTTATTTCAATACAATAATATATGAGCCTTTGGCGAGTTTATTATTACTATTTAAATTAAATAACAGGAGTGGATATCAAGAGATATCCAATTCTCACAAGTTGTTAAACCTATTTCTCTTATTGTCAACACTCTCATTGTGTTAAATTAAAAATTCCGCGAATGGTTGATCTAGTCTTTTGCACATACCAGTATGACGTCATATGTCCTGTTCCGGCGACAAACTTCGACATACAACATTTTAAAACTTTTTGTACGCCTCAGAATGTAATAAATTTTGATAAAAGAAAAATTACAGGTGAAAAGTGTGAGTGTTTTGTATATTATCGAAGAAATCACATATTTCTTGCCATGGAGGAAATGTACATCGTCTTAACCTTTGAAAGTTATCAATGACCTAACCAATAGCCAATGGGAATATCGTAATATTGTCACATGATGCTGGATAAGCCAATCAAATTAACTCAGTTTTCATATCACTTTTTCAGATTACACTCCGTGCAGTGTGATACGAGAAATATCTCTTCATACATGAAATAGATAACAGGCCACAACCATAAGAGAATACTGCATAAATTATAAATAATATTATAATCAAGCTTCAAAATACCTTTCTTTTCTATAGTTGTATTACTACAGTATACAGAAGCATATGAAGTGCAAGTTGTGGCATTAAACTTCATTTGACATTCAGACAGGTCAGATTCAGTTCCAATACATCTCAGGTCTGAGATAAAAGTCTTTCCTTTAATCTTGCCAAAAGCTGAGCCTCTAATGGCGAGACCATCAGTAAAGTTATTTCCCAGACTTCTACAGGTAACCCTAGCAGCTTGGTCATCAAACCCTTCATCACAGATGCTATACCACTCCCCATTACGGTGGAATTCTACTCCTCCCATCCTGGCATCATGTCCTTCATTAAGACGAACTGAAAGAAGTATTATTCTTTAATAAGTCATTTTACTTTGTGAATCAAGATAAGATATAATTGTGTTTACAATATGAATATTTTTTTTGCATAATAAAATAAAAGTAAAACATTGTTATTTTTCAGGTTTTATACAATTTTAAAAGGGTTAAGTTAAGATGAAAACCAAAATAAATTTGTGAAACTTTCTAAATAGCATGTTGATATTTTCTCAGTATTTTTCATTATACAATAGCTATAGTTTGTATTAAATAAACATTGAATAAATTAAAATATCCCAAATACCTGTTACTTTTTAAAATGCTGCTTTGAGGTAAAGTGTCAATATTTTACATTCTTTAAATGTTGATTCATTGTCATAACAGTTTACATATTTAAAAAAAATATAAGTACAAGACTTACCATTTTTATAACAAAATACAGAAGCATCATCTCGATGCGAATCACATATGATCGACAGAATCCAGTTACTCTCTGAGAACTGATCATTAAATCCTCGATGTGGACACTGATGAAGATTCTTTTCATTTCCACTACACTGAAGATGGCTTAGCCAAATAGGTCCACGACCCTGTCCATAAGTTGCGCTAGGTAATGCCACACCCTCAGTGAATCCAAACTGACGACAGAATACAGAAGCATCTTTATTGTCCCATCCAGCATCACATATTGTGCCATTGATGCCACCAACTGATATCTCAACTCTGCCATAATGAGAGCCACCTTCACTCATATAATACTTTATTCCTGTCATATAAACAATATCAATATGTTAATAGCAGTCTTTTTAAGCTTTTTTCAATCAGTCATTTGTTTAATCTAATTTCAGTTTTAAACCTAAATAAATTACAAGTTAGATAAAAATCAGCAAAATTAAGATAGGTCTGTATTACATGACCATTGTATAACATTTTTTTCCCAATTCATCTAAAAATAAAAAAAAGAATGTGTCTGAGGACATGAATGCCCCTGCTCAAGCTTGCTTATAATATGTGAAAATACTTTTTGGATGGATGGAAGGACAGATGGAAAGACAGATGGAAGGACAGACGGTCAAGGGTAACACTTAATGCCCCTTCACCTAGCAGTGGGGGCATAAAAAACTCTTATTTCTGTATCTTTAATAGTGCTAGCATATTTTTACAAGAAATTGATTAAAATTACTCAAAACACTGCATGTATACAATCTTCCACATAACATAACAAATGAAAAAGGTATCATCAGACATAAGCATTAAAGTGTTTCTATATTAAAGGCATGTTTATGACTGTAACCGTTATTCTAACAGCTGTACTCTATTTTATAATTGTGCTTAAAGCTTCATTCAGGGTATACACTCTCTACATGTTATGTTTATATTGTACTATACCATGTTTGATACCAAATTCACATAAAATGTATTGCCAAATATCTACAATAAAAACAAGACAAATACAAAAATTATTCCAACTATCTGTTAACAAAAGCATACCTTCATCCTTAAAGCACAATACTGAAGCGATATGTGAATCAGAACAGTTTCCTAATGACATTCTAGATTGATGAGGACAGTCAAGTAGTGCCTTTTCCTCTCCTGTACAGTTAAAGTCACTCAGCCAATAAGGACCCCTAGAACTCTCTGAGGTAGACTGTTCATCATGTTTGTAGGCTATACCATGTCTGTATCCCTGTTCTCTACAGAACACACCAGCATCAACATCATCCCAGTTTTTACCACATATCCTACCAGTAGCACCTAGATGTGTAACAATTACTTGCCCTTTGTTTCTATCCTGTAACTTTAGTGAATATTTTTCTGAAAGAAAAAATTATTTCCACCATAAAACATTTGCTTTTTACCTTTTTCTGATAAAAAAACCTTGCCAGAGTTATTATTTGCAGCACACTGCATTCTCTATATAAGGCTTCCTTGCATATAGCTGCTATGTCTTAAGTAAATCATAAGGGTATAAAGGCCCTTTTGCATTGTATATGAAATTACTATCAAACTTTGATGAAATATAGAGTGTGTTATTTTATGTTAATTCCTTTTTGATATTTTGTAAGAATGGATTGCTGTATTACGATCACATTTAATAATTTCTCCATTTTTAATATTCAATTATACAGTAACAAACTGTTGAAACAGAAAGACAATCTGATGGACATTAACATTGCTTATTAATTCAAATAGGCTGGACCATGATCTAGTGGGCAGGGCCTCAAAATGGTCGACAAACTGAGATGAACAGAACCTGTAATTCAGTGGTTGTCGTTTGTTACTGTGTTTCATATTTGTTTTTCTTTCATTATTTTGTACATAAATTAGGTCGTTAGTTTTCTCGTTTGAATTGTTTTACATATGTCATTTCGGGGCCTTTTATATCTGACTATGCGGTATGGGCTTTGCTCGTTGTTGAAGGCCATACGGTGATCTATAGTTGTTATTTTCTGTGTCATTTGGTCTCTTGTGGAGAGTTGTCTCATTTGCAATCATACCACATCTTCTTTTTATAAGTAATGTAACTTTATAGAAAATATTGTTGTCTACTGAAAGCAGTTCCTATCAATCTATCAAGCAGAAAACTTAACATTGAAAATTGCTAATTAATTCAAAGTCACTGGACCATGTCCAAGGGGGCAGGGCCTCAAAATAGTCATCAAATTGATATGTACTGATAGTAATGCAACTTTATATTAAATATCAATGATCTATCACAAGTAGTTCCTATCAAACTAACTTTAGCAGAAAACTTAACATTGTTGACGCCGTTGTCATTGCCTTCGCCTGAAAAGCAATGCCCATGTCTTGCTTTCCACTACTTTCGTCACAGGAGAGACAAAACTACTATCAAATGCTAAATTTTACTTCCTTCAATATATGTATTATTCAACTGCAAGCTCACTAATTATTGTGAATAATAAATTGTCACAAATATGTCAAGCTTGGTTCTTTTCTAATATGAGTACATGTATAAAGTTAGAAAGAATAAATTGGTTTACAGTATAAATTGTTTACCTTTATCTGCTATCTTTGTTTCATTAAAACACATCACAGAAGCATACTGGTCACTTTCACATTGCTCTTCACGTAAACATTCCGTTACAGACTTCTCCCTACCAGTACATCGGAGTGTGTAATTTGTCAATACGGGTTCACTGGTTTTACCAAATGCTGAACAACAGATAGCTTGTCCGTCTGTATAACCTAGCTCCTCACACACCACTCTAGCTGACATGTCTGTAAATCCTGTGTCACACACACGTAACCACGTCCTGTTGTGGTAATATAACACAGCTCCATTGCTACTGCCTGGGGTGTAACCTTTGTATAGTTTAACTGAAGAAGAAAGATCATTCAGATTTCCATGTTAATCATGTTTACAGTGAAGGTTCCTCATGTTTGTATTGACTTTAAAATTATAAGCATTGATTTCATAGAAAATGTAATCAGAAATTCCTTTTTCATTTCATGAAATTATTTATGTAAGTTAAGAATTATCTTTTACAGTGAGGAATAATAAATTTAGATGTTACAATTGTCATAAAATTTTACCATTAGTATAACACATAACAGCAGCATCATCTTTATGTCCCAGACAGAATCTGGAGTTTCCAACAACCCATCCTTCATGAGGACAAAGATCAAGACTTTCTTCCTTCCCACTACAGTGTATTTTACCATCCCACTGTGTCCCAGAACCTGGAGGTAAATTGTCACCATAGTAAGAATCTCCTGTGTTGAACCCAAGCTGTCTACAGAATACGTCAGCATCATACTGGTCCCAGTAATGATCACAAATGGTTCCCCATTCTCCATGGACAGACACCTCTACACGACCTGATCTATCATTTCCTCCAGCTAAACGGTAGTATACACCTTAAAGTAGTACAATTCAATTTGTGAAAATCAATGTTTTTTAAAAAATAAACTAAATTTTTTGTGTAAGAATTGAGACAAGAGCATAAGCCATAACATTCAAAAGATTAGAACTAGGCTTACCTCTTGCAATTTTTGTTTATATATATATATACCATGGATTGTACACTTTCAACAATAAGAAAAAATATAATTAAAACAAATGCACATATATCAACACTTGGTATTTACCTTCTCTGTCAAAGCACAGCACCCCAGCATAATGCTTTCCTTTACATTCTTTTACATTCCCAAATCCAACATGGCTACACTGGTTGATACTAGACTCGTTACCATGACATGTGACATTTGTTGTCCAATAGGGGCCTACAGCATCCATATCACTCTTGTAATGGAAGTATGACATGCCATCAGGATAGCCCAGCTCATGACAGACAACTCTGGAAGCCTTGTCATTCCAGCCATCAATACAGATACGACCCTCTATTCCAAGGTAAGTAATGTTGACTTGACCAGTATAACTCGATCCTCCAGCTAGTCTAAGTGTGTAATCTAAAAGTATATAAACATTTCATAATTTCAGCAATCTTGTAAACTTTAAAGAGGGGGAGGGGTCTCATTCCAACTTCCCAATAAAAGAGATGCCAAGTCTTGAATTCCTGTGAAAATAATGTGTCTGTTACCCCCATCACGATATAATTAAATACTGAATTACTGATGATTTTACTGGCTATTCCCAAATTCCTGCGCATTAAACGGCTCAATCAGGACATCCTGAAAAAAAAAGTCCTTCCATCCCTTTACAAATACATGAAAATACTTGTAACAAATTCCCGTGAAGACATTTGTTTGGGAACATTCCTCGACAGTAATTTGAAACTCAAAAAAGTGAAAAAAGACTGGTTGTGATGGCTATAAATGTCATACACCTTAAATTTTTAATTCAAAAGGATTTGAAAAGTTTTTTTTAAAGAAATTACACTATATATAGTTAATAGATTGTGTTTCATTTTTTCAGTGACAGTCTTTTTACATGTCTTTAAGGTATAATCTGGTGTACTGTTACAGACTATGAAATTATTGGGACCTAAAACTATTCACCTATACTAAAGAAGACAGAGTTATTGAAATATAAAATATCATCTCCTGGACTTCTGTCCAACAATGAGACTTGCATGAAGACAGCATCTGTTTAGCTGTGCATGATACACAGTCTTGTCATGATGGGAGTAGTGAGTTTAAACTAATGACCTGTATTGGTAGAATGCTTTTTGCATGTAAAATAATTCTTGTTTTCTTGAACAGGTGTTATAGATAAGCCAATGTAAGTTAAATTTCTGAACCTATTATGTATGCTCTCCTTTTTAATTGCCAATCTTACGATTTATCTCTGGCGGTACAAATATAGTTGATTAATTCTTCAATTTTTTATTGCATGTAATACTTTCACAATGTTCACTTTAAGCATGATAGCTTGTGTGCTATCATTGTGTGGATTGAATATAGCAATACTTTGACAATGTACATGTATAATATATTAAATCTGTGTTTGATTTTGTGGTCTGAATATAGCAGTACTTTTAGATTGTAAAATATATTTGCTCTAGGTAAAAATCTTATTATAACCTGTAGACTTACAAACTTTACCAATACTAAGACAGAATAAATAAACTTACTTTGTGTACGGATCCCATTATAACATGCAAGTGAGGCATAATTCTGTGGACTAGTACAGACTATAGCAGTACTGGGACAATCTGTCAGATGCTTTTCCTTTCCTTTACACTGTAACCTTCCAAACAATGGAGTGATGAAGCTAAAACCAAACGGTGAGCAGCATAGCGGTAATCCATGTTCATATCCTAGAATCCTACAGGCGACATCTGTAATATATATATGTATGTGTACATTACTAATACCATATTACTTTTAGAAGAAAAAAGTTTGAGATTTAAAAAGAAACCTATTATAACCCCACCAGGTATTAAAATATGTCTGGAACCTTGTCTGAAGTTGTCTTATGTTTTATTTAAATTTGTTGGGGTTATTTGGAGAATTTGGTGTTGACAGCAGATCCTTGACAGTTCCTGTTTAATCTATTCACATCAGACAAACTGTATTGACAACTTTGTATTGTTCATCACTATATACTTACTGTATATAACAATAAGATAAGTTGAATACTGTGGATTCTTTATTATTGATGGTAATAATTTGATTTTAGGAAAAAGTATTTCAGTGAATCAATGATTTATAGAAATGTTTTTGTTAACAAAAATACTGTATAAAAGCTTATAGAAAATTTGTATTTAGTGGAATACTTAAATTAGTGGGTAACCCCAACCCACAAAAATAAGAACCCAACCAATAATATTGAATTCCAAGTAAAACATTCTAATTTACATATTTTTGTTAGGGTTGCTATAATTTTGATCGAATAAATGATTTATTGTTTTTGTATATAAGCAGTTCATTTTAGATAAACATAAACAATTTTGGCATGTTATAGCCATTGAGTCTAAATAAATAATGTCTGTACTTGTATCATAAAATTTGTAAATGGTTCCACAGAGCCCTATGTCTTGCCTGTGATTGCTACTGTCAGTGAAACAATGTAATGTTGAATGCCAAAAAATGACCTTTTCCTTCAAATGCTATTTCTTGATCTTGAAAAAAGCTTCTATCTGAGTTTTATAATAATGAAGCTTTAACAAAGTTATTTATTTCTAAAAAAGAATTTTTATAACCACAGATTAAAGCTAAATGTTGATGAAGATTGAAGGATTTGCAATTCTCAAAAGGCATATCAAAATTTAATGACTTCATGCCAAGCGTGAAAAATGTGTTATAAAATAAATCACCCATTAAATTCAGATGATTTACCAACATTTACCTGCTTCTGTTTCACCAAATCCACTGGCACAGACTGTACTCCAACCTTTGTTCTTGTGATATACCTCAACCATACCATTACTTCTATAGTTCCCTCTCATTAAACGCACTACAAAAAAAAAACCACCTTTCACTATAGCTACATTATATAAAAATAAGGAGATGAGGTATGATTGCCAATGAGACAACTATCCACCAAAGTTCAAATGAAGTGGATGTAAACAATTATAGGCAACTGTACGGCCTTCAACAATGAGAAAAACCCATACTGTATAGTCGGCTATAAAAGGCACTGACATGAAAAATATGAAACAATTGAGAAAACTAACATCCTAATTTATAACAAAACAATTATCGAAAAACAAATATGACCGACATGAACCAACGACAACCACTGAACTACAGGCTCCTGACTTGGGACAGGCACATAAAGAATGTGGCGGGGTTAAACATGTTTATACACATTGAACTGACTGAAAGTGCTTTTTACCTTTAGGCTTTACACATATAAAAATAACAGTACAATTTCATTTCTTATTGATTTAAAAAACAAGTTCTTATTGAATGACTATGGATATACAAATTAACTAAAATTTTAAAATCAAAATTAATAAACAGAGTATGTAATATATGAACTAGATTAAACACTTTTCTATATTTGCTTTGCATTGACAATTATTGACTACATTAAAAGTTTACCAGATTTGAAACAAACAACTCCAGCATCATTGCCATGTGTACATCTTTGTGTCTGAGCTGGATACCATGATGCTTCACACTGCAGGAAGTTTGTCTCATTTCCCATACACTCCACCCTTGTCATCCAGATATCCTGATCACTAGTGCCTACAGTTGTAGGATTAGCCTGAACTCCTCCTACAAAGGGTCCTAACTGCCTACAGAAGACTTCAGCATCAACATCATCCCAGTATACATTACAAACTGTACCCCATCTCCCATTCAGATATATTTCTGCTCGACCACTTCCTTCATATTCTTCACCAATTCTAAACTGCACACCCTCTGTAAATAATAATACATCATATCATTAACCAATTCTTATGCTGCAATGTTTCCTGTTTCATTGAGTCTTCAGTCAGTTTTTCAGCATTTTGATGTTTTAAAGGTCCTTTACTCAAAGTGAGCTTATAATCTATATCATTTGTCTATCATAGGTATTTTTTATATTTAAAACTTTTGGCAAAGATTGGTATAGACAAACATGACCAAAATTAACATTTTTCATAGATGTTATGTTGTGAACATTATAGTGTCAGCAAGTTTTCTGTAAAAAATAATAGGTTTATGTTAATAAAAATGCATGTGTTGGCTTACTTAGAGTACCCCTGTTCATAATTCAAAAGTATCTGAAAATGAAAATAGCCGTCTGACAAATCGTAAATCTTAAAAGCAATCACATGTCAACTTATCCCTGTTAAGCTACTGATCAAATATGAAGTCATCCTGTTAAGTAGATCATGAGAAAAGTGTGACAAGAATAAAAATATTTGTTGGACGAACAGACAATGTGATAGCAATAAAGCACCTACTCCTAGAGTTGGGCTATAATATAAATAATACCTGCTTTCTTTGAGCAAACAATAGCAGCCCTAGAAGATCTATCATTACATTGATGGTCCTCTCTGAATGTTGCCATGGGACACCCATGCAATGTCTTCTCTGTTCCAGAACAGTTAACATGCCCAAACAATGTAGGCACATGTCTAAGTACTGTTCCCCTGGTAGCATTACCACCAGCGAAACCTAATTCACGACAGACTACTTGTGCATCATCATTATCCCATCCTACATCACAGATTGATCCCCAGATTCCATATCGCTGGACCTCTACATTACCAAAGAATAATCCACTTGGCCTGGTAACATGGACAGCTGGAAAACAATGATAAAATAATTAAACATTATGATTATCAATTATCAGTAGTATTAGGCAATGAAAGAAATGTACGTTTTACCTTTTTCTATATATGTTATGCATATCATATTTTTTTAAAAAGTTTTGGATATCAGGTTTATTTGGTTTTCTCCATTTTCTTTGTGGTTATATTAATTCTTTCTTTTTCTTGGGGTTTTCTTTAGTATTTCTGTCCCATTCGTTCAAGCTACTTTCTGTAGGACTATTACTTTGCTTGCCCTTGGTTTTCTCATCTGAATTGCTTTACATTTTGTCATTTCGGGTCTTTTATAGCTTACCTCTTGGTTTTATGCATTGTTGATGGCCATTCAGGGCTGCATAGTTGTTTACATCTTCTTGCTTTGGTTGGTTGTCAATCATACCTTATCTTATATTTATATAGATGTCTACAAATTATGGAAAAGAGTACAAGTACAACATTTATTTCCATGTTGACTAAAGTTTTGTGTACTTACAATATTTAGTAGCATCAGAATCTGTACAAGCCACAGACACGTAATGTTTAGTTGAACATGAACCCTCTTCATGTGGACAATCATTGAACTTCTCCTTGCCAGTACACTGGACATTAGTTATTCCTATTGGACGAGAAGTCAGCCATGTTCCCTGGGCAGAACAACACTGGGCCCTGCCATCTGTATATCCCATTGACTGACATGCAACCTTAGCATCAGTATCATTGAAGTTTTCATCACAAACAGAATACCAAGAATCTTTCTTAAATACCTGAAGTTGTCCATAATTGGCAAGTCCAAGTCCAGACAGTCTGACTGTAAAAGGTTAAACAGGAAATTATATCTATTTCAATTTGAAAATAAAATTACTTTAATCACTGTAATATAATACTTAGACTTTGACAATTTTTTACATTTTTTCTACTATAGTTACACTTTGTGAAAACTACAGATCTGAGCCAATTTGTCTAAAGCATATAAAGTTAAGAAAACAAAGCTATTAAAGACAGGAGTTTTTATTGTGTTTCAAATTTAATTGTATCCAATATCATTCTTAGCAGTAATGAAAATAAATATTTGCATCCTTTGACCCTTTGATCATTCTTTGACCCTTTGATCAGAGTATAGCATTACAGTGATTATTTGTACACAAATTTCAAAATTTTATTTCTAAGTCCTAAAAAACAAGGGAAAAAATATGAAAACAAAGCTATTAGAGATGTAGATTTGTTGTGCTATCATATTCAATAGGAATTTTGACCATGCTGATCAATTATGAAAATAAATATGTACACTGCAAAACAATCAAGGTACATCTGTAACATATGTACATGATGTAAATATGTTAACTTACCACTTGCATAACATTTGACACCAATATCCTTCTCGTGTGCAGCACATGCTGTATCTGGTTTCTCAGCTAGACCTACTAACTCACAGTCTAGTATACTGCTCTCATTCCCATGACAGTAGGCTCTACTGATCCACACAGGACCAGTTGTGTTGCCATAGGAATGATTCACAACATACACACCATACATAAATCCTCTCTGACGACATATCACTGTGGCAACCTTGTTTGTCATATACCATCCACAAATACTTCCCCATGTTCCATTGATTTTGACCTCTACAAGACCTTCTGATTTGGACTTTCCACCTGTTATTCTTAATTCAAAGCCTGCTGTCTCTGTAAATACATAAATACTATAAATTACATGTTTAAAAGATAGGTTTGTAAGGAGGAATAAAATTGGAATTGTGCTTGCAGTCAAAACATATTAAGACAGGGTTTATGTATACAAGCTTAAAGCTATGTCTATACAGAAACATTCAAATCTATTAAATACTATTTTTGATTTCTTATAATTAATATCTTTTACAATTAAAATTTTCATGTAAAAAACAATATAAATAATAACAAAATTCCAATGGAACAGAAGATGTAAATAATATTTAGATAAGGTTAAGTTGTTTTAACATAATTTGTACAGTACCTTTAGTTTTATAACAGAATGCTGCAGCAGAACTACTGATAGAACAGTTGTCTATCTGACCCCAGGCTAAGTTTCCACATTTATCTAAGTCACTCTCAGTGCCAGTACAATTCAGGTTGTTTAACCATCTGATATCGTCGGTCCGTGATCGAGGTACATGTGGTAATACGTCATGGCGATATTTGTAACCAAAACCTCCCAGAAATCCTTTCTGTCGACATGCAACCATTGCATCATTACTGTCGTAACCATTTGTACACACCAAACCCTCATGATTGTAGTAATCTACCCATAGTTTGCCAAAAGTTCCATTCTCAAATCGGAGCTCAAACCCTGAAAGATATGTCATAATACCATAACTGGTACACACAATACAAGATTGCTCTGCACTAGTATAGGGAAATGTCCCTTTTGGTTATACATGCATGTTGTTCTCTAGTTTTCTTTTTTAAAACAGTGTATTACGTACAGCTAAACACATTACATTGTCTTCCTCTTTCAGGTATTTGTAATAATTCCCCTGATTGTTGCCATTTCCATGTAAAATGTGGAAAATTAAGAAAAAGAAGTCAGCTTGAGCTTCTGCAAAAATTAGGCAAATTAAAATGCTGGCATAGTCAGATCAAATACACAAGATGAAATATCTAACTATGAAAGCTTGGGATATATGGTCCTAGAAGAGAAATATGCACAAGATTTCACCCTGCTAGCTAGCGCCGCAATAGGCAAAAAATTGTCCATGTCTGTAACTCTGACATGCAAACATTATCAAATTAAAATAGTGCTTTAGTATGGTCAACTAAACATATCAACAAACAGCTATTACAAGAATGAAAGAAGTAGACTTCATAAAGTATCATATAACAAAAATGATAATGCTACAATTGGCTACAATTGGTGAAAGTCCCACAACTCCTACACAAATTGTCAACTCAGAATGGCAATATAGATTTATAGATAAGAAAAAAAAATATGAAAAAACCTCACTTAGTATTAAAGCTTTTGTGCAGTTTTCTATGAATTGGTTGGTACCTACTTTTTTAGGACCCATCAATCAGATTGTGACTTATGATGGTCTGGATGGGGGTCCTTCATTTCTTTATTCTTTTATTTTTTTGACCATTTTTCTCTATTCTTTATCTTTTTTGCCCATTATTCTCTATTCTTTATCTTTTTTGCCCATTATTCTCTATTCTTTATCTTTTTTGCCCATTATTCTCTATTCTTTATCTTTTTTGCCCATTATTCTCTATTCTTTATCTTTTTTGCCCATTATTCTCTAATCTTTATATTTTAACACCCCATTATTCTATTCTTTTTTTTTTGCCTATTTTTCTCCATTCTTTATTTTTATTTTTGCCCTTAATTCTGCAACTTTTGCCTATTATTCTCTGTTCTGTTAACCCCATTCAGCTGCTCACTTATACCTTCTTATACAGCAGTAAATCAGTGATTGGTACTTACCTTTATGTGATGGTTCCTTGTCAGTACAGACAACTGAGGCATATTTTTTACTAGCACATCTCTTAAGTCCATCTATAGTTTTGCAGTCCTTCAGGGTAGGTTCATTACCAAGGCACTGTAGACCTGTTACTGATATTTGGTAATCATGTGACCCAAATGCTGAGCAACACAGGCTCTTCCCATAGGCATATCCCATATCTCGACATGCCACGGTGGCATCATTGTCATCGAAGTTATCAGAACAGACCATCGTGTATAGCTTGTTTGACCAAATCTGGAGAGCACCATAATCATCTCCTGGACTGGTATTCACTAAAATCATACAGAAATAAATGACATTGATAAATATATCATTTTATATGATTTAAAGATATGCGATTTAATCTTCCATAGTGGAGCAAAATAGTTTCTATTATTCAACCATTTTTCAAATTAATTTGAAATTATAAGTCTTAATTTACTAAAATATACAGTTAAGCTAATGTTTTAAGTGTACAGGTACTTTGAAAATTAAAAGGTTTTGAGTAAAGAAACTTTATCTGACAGGAATTTTTCTTTCATGTTATATATAGTGTTCCCTATTGTGTCACTAGCAGATATTATAATTCTGGTGACATTTTTAACATAAAAGTCAATGTAAAAAAACAAAAACATTCATTGGATCAAAATTATCATATCAAACAAGAAAAGAACTTATGAAATACTGTAAATTCAGAAATTAATGCGTTCATTTATTATTGCGATTTTTGAAAAAAGGACAAAAATGCGAGATTTATTATTGCGATTTCAGAAACATTTGCTTAAGATATGTGTATCAGATTTCAGAATGCGAGTTCTTATTATTGCGATACTCAATGAGTCGCATTATTCGCATTAATAAAAACCTCGCAATAATTTCTGAATTTACAGTAGGTGGTAGAACTTTTCATAAACTAAAGTGTCACCCTGATCAGGAGGACCCTGGAGCTTACATTAATAAAACACATAAAGCTGTTTTCTTTGATAGTAATTATCAAATACATTATCATGTGATCATTGCTATGAGTGTTGTACATTTATTCAAGATCATCTTTCATCTTTACATTTAGATTTTATTAATTGAAAATCATTTCAATTTTTATTGATGAAAAGACATACACACTTTAAATACAATTCTGATCATTTTATCAGGTTAATAAACAAAGTAGAAAAAAATATCATAGGTTCAATATTGTATTATATATAAAAGTAAGACAGTTTAAACCAATGTATCTAAGTAACTTATGCTATACCTCTTCTTGAACAAGTGACTCCAGCATCAGTCATATGTTGAGTACAGTAGGACTGGACATTACCCCATCCACGACTGGGACATTCTAGTAAACTGGACTCAGTACTGTCACAGAACATTCCAGATAGGTATACATTTCCAGTCCCTGATCCATGATAAGAACCTTTATAGGCAGTACCATCAGGATAACCAAGCTGTTGACACAGAACCCTGGCATCATACTTGCTCCAGTCATAATCACATACTGTACCAGAAACTCCATCATAAACAATCTCTACTCTACCATAGTGTTTCTTTCCGTCAACAAGCTTGATTTCTACACCTGAAATAATTTAATTGAACAATAGTTTATCCTGAAAAATTTATAATAATTACAATATAAAAATAAGGAGATCATGAGGTATGATTGCCAATGAGACAGCTATCCACCAAAGTTCAAATAAAGTGGATGTACGCAATTATAGGCAACTGTATATTACAAGTCTCTTTTCTGTCAAAGCACCATATTTTTTTTTGCCTTCAACTGAAAAAGATTTTTTCAAACTTTGATATTTATCATGTTCATTTTTAGGTTTCGGAAAAATAACTTTAATATAATTAATAATTAACCATAATCTATATATATTGGATAATGTAAAAAAAGAAAAAAGGTTCAGTTAATTATATGCTTTTCTGTTTTAATATCTATTGGTTTCCAATCATCTTTAACTGATTAAATTGTTGTTTAAAATGTTTTGTGATTTTTTTTTAATCCAATGAATTTGTTTATATCTGATCCTTTTGATTGGTTTAATTAAATGATTGCATTTTGTAATTTACACCTGTAGAATCTTACAGGGTTCATACCTGTAGAATTGTAACACAGTACACCAGCATTCTTAATGGACCGTACACAATCTAGTGATACATGTGGACTAGCATCACATTCTGACGGAGAAGACTCTGTTCCTGTACAATTAAAATTTGTATACCAAACCGGCATTGACCTTGAATACACTTCTTGAGGGCCAAAGACAACACCCCCTTTGTAACCAACCATATGGCAGAAAGCGTTGGCATCCTTGTCATCCCAGCCTTCAGTACAGATTGTACCATTCATACCATACTGTTCAGCCAAAACAGACCCATGGTAACCATCTGATATATAGAACTTCTTCTCTAAAATAAAAATGATTAAAAATATTTCAAAAAGTTTGAGTTAAAGTGCAATAGTATCTCATAAAAGTGTATAAAAATACTGTAAAATACTTTTTCCATTCAGCTAAATGCATTTCAAATACTGTATATTCAGAATTTTTTGCATGGACTTATTGCATTTTTTGAAAAACAGACAAAATTACAAGATTAATTTTTGCGATTTCATTTAATACTGTATACAAATAATATCAAAATTCCTTTGCAATTTTAGCAATAATACAACTATCGCAAAAATTTATGAATTTAAAGTACAATTTAACCGATAACCCATATTTGGGCTTATACATATTATTGACATCAGCCAGATGAACTTTAAACAAACTACCGCTGGGTAATTGTACTTTAAAAAAAATGGTAATGATTTATAAAGAATTTATAAAACATTTACTTGCTGTGTGTTAGGAGTTAACAAAAAGTGGCTTCATACACCAACTGATTGAATAATAAAACACCCCTTACATATATGTAAATACTGCAGTAGATATTTTATTATACATGTTTTTGATTATTTGTCAGCAGTGTTTATTGCAACCTATACAGAAAAGCTATACACATGACTATAAACTTTAACAATACGAAAACAGAACTGCCAGGGTTTGAAAAAAGTAGGGGTTGTCAAAAGGCCCTTCAAAATATGCATTGTTTGACTAAAATTTTGCACTTAGAAGCTACATGATAACTCTGCTTTTATGTTGTATTTTCGGTAACAATTACTTTCAGACAAAACAAACAGCATTTAAAATTTTTTTTTCTAGGAAACTTTATATGTGCAGGGTTTTTTAAGACACTGTCCTTACAGCCATCTCCAACTGCATTGAAATTGGTTGATGAACACATATTGATTGTTTCAAACAAGATTTTATTAATGAAGGCATATAAAGACCAAACATCTATTCCAGAAATTCATAGTTATTGAAACGGTAAATATTATTTTCTTTTCCCTGGAGGAGTATTCAAAACCCAAACTGAATTTTTAAACAGAAAAAAAGACTGGACAAGAGATTCTAACGGAGGGTTCATACTCTTATAAGCCTAGAACTTAAAACACCTACCAGGTACAAAACTACCGTTTATACACAGCAGACTGGCATAGTTGACAGTAACTGAGTTACATTTTGTAGTCACAGTCATCTTACAATCACTTAAGGTCTTCTCAGTTCCTTTACAGTCCACATTGTAAGTAGTACCAAAGGATTTGAGGAATCCAAATGATCCTGGTCCTAGAATCCTAGCTTTATCGAAGCCTATATCTCGACAGACAATATCAGCACTAGCCTGGGTAAAGTTGGTGGCACAGATACTGTAAAATTTGTTTTGAATTAACACTTCTACTCTTCCTGTAATGTAACCTGTTCCTTTTTTACCATCTAACAGTTTCACTAAAATGTAATTTAAATTAATACATTAAGTAATATTATAAAAGTCAAATGTACCCGGTAAGTAAAGATGATACATTTGTATATGAATTGATACAGTCACTTGTTAAATATTTTTAGAAATTGTTTTCTTAGATAAGTTATTCATTTTATTACATTGGCTTTTCATGTCAATAAACCAGAAGATATAGAAGTGTAAGAGACATAAACCTTCACCAGTAAACAAAATCAACAGGGCAGATATACAGGATATTTTGAAACTAAAACTGTAAAAGCAACAGTATAATTTATATATTGGGATGTGCTGTTTTATATCTGCCAACTTTCATGATGTATGTGTGAACTACACAATTTTGATCCCTTGTCCTGATTGCACATTCATGATTGTGAAAATAGCCCCAAAACACTATTCTAGAAAAATCTACACAAAAAGTTTGTTGGTTCCTATTTTTGAACTTTTCCCAAGAGAGACAATCGTGATCAATCAAAATCCTCGGATCACACTATCTATATCTTGGGATGTACTTTTTGTGGATATAGAATGCAGGTGAATCCAAACAGACCTTCAACAGACAAATTCAATGGTCATATGAAAGATTAATTTTTAAACCAAACATTCCTCTCAACTGACATCTTTATTTCTGTTGTCAATCTTGAATAAACCAATTTTGAAAGGCAAGACAAAAGAAAAATTTGTAAGGGTTCCGGGGAACCCAGTGTCTCGCCTACTTTTGCTGTTGTCTATGTTTTCAGTGTGATAGGGGAATGCACATAATAGATTTACAGTTAATGAAATAAAACATTTGAAATGTATGAAAAAAGTTATGCTTGTAAAAAATGAATACAGTATGCAATCAAATTTATGATTTATAAAAGAGTTGAAACATAAATTTATTGAATGAACAAATGATAAAGAAGATAATTTTGACATTGCTTGATGATTTATCCCTTAATTCAGACGACGACGGAATGTAGGATCGCTATGTCTCGCTTTTGAGACAAAAGTCACAGGCTCAACAAAAATGGGGAAAAAATTATTAAAAATTTTCCTCTAGATACTATCTTTTGATTGTAAGAAGCTTCTGTCCAGGTTTGGTAAAAATCCGGGATAATTTATGAATTTAATAAATGTTTTAAAAATTTTAACAACAGACTGTATGTAATGACAGTGATTAGTAATGTTAACTGGAAGAAAAAATGTCCATTTATAAGTATTAAATATATGGAAAAACAGGAAATAGATTTTTACAAAATTTCCTTCTAGATACTATCTTTTGATCATAAACAAGCTTCTGTCCAAGTTTGGTACAAATCCAGGATAGTTTAAGAAAGTAATTAAATTTTTTAAAACTTTAACCACAGAGTGAATGTAATGTTAACTGGCTGAAAAACAAAGTCCATTTTTAAGTAAAATACAGATAAACAGGATTTTTTTTTTACAAAATTTAGTTCTGGATACTATCTTATGATCATAAACAAGCTTCTGTCCAAGTTTGGTACAAATCCAGGATATTTTAAGAAAGTTATTAAAATTTTAAAACTTCAACAACAGAGTGGATGTAATGTTAACTGGCAGAAAAACTAAGTCCATTTATAAGTAAAATACAAATAAACAGGATTTTATATTTTACAAAATTTAGTTCTGGATACTATCTTATGAGCATAAACAAGCTTCTGTCCAAGTTTGGTAGAAATACAGGGTAGTTTAAGAAAGTTATTAAAATTTCAAAAACTTTAACCACAGAGTGAATATTTGTGGACGCTGCCGCCGACGGAATGTAGGATCGCTATGTCTCGCTTTCTGATTCTTCTAAGTTTTCAAAAATTTGAACTACCTGGTATTTATATAAATTGAGAAACATGTAAATCTTGGTTACCTTTATCAACTAGCTGATGATTTACTATATGCATTATTATAGTATTTTGTACTGTTTATATCCTAACAACATCTCAATTACACAATTTCACTTTTCCCTAATACAAAGGCAAATCAAATGTATATTACCATTCTTCCAGCAATAGACCCCTACATGATCTTTACAATCTGGTATATTGAGAACTCTATAGCCATAACTAGAACATCCTAATAGTGATGTCTCAGTACCAGTACACCAAATGTTAGACAGGAAAGCAGGCTTTTTACCAGGCTTTACCCTAAAAAAATAGGTTGAAATATGCTAAAACAGTTGATCTACATATCAGCAATGACAAAAAAGACAATGTAATTCTGTAAAAATTAATTACTGGATGTTTGCTACTACATAGTTTAAATTTCCCCTAACATTCTATAAGTCCTAACATATTTCCTATACTGTGGATTCATTATTATTCATAGAATATCAATTTTCCTGGATTTCATGGGCATAGGTAAACCAGGAATTCAAATGTCCAATGTAGTCAAATTTTCCATCGACTTTTATGCAGACTTTAGCAAAACCACAAAATCCAATATCCACAAAAATAAACAATTTTTCCCCAATCCACAAAAAAATATAAATGAATCCACAGTACTAGTGTATTATGAAAACTATCCCTGCAACCTCAGTATTTCATTTTTATTTTTTAAACATACTTCTCAAATATACATTTGGCAAAATATTTTAAAATTCTTATTTCTTCCATGCATTGTACGTTTCTTACACTCTGTCATTGATAAACACTGTCAGATAAACATGCACACCTTACAATCATTCTACACACTAAATACTTATAGTATCTAAGAAACTGACATAAGCAAGAAAATTAACGATCATTGAACCATGAAAGATAAAAGAAAAACTCTGGATCTGGATACCAAATGGCTAGATAATGAAGAATCATTAACTAAAGTTTTCTGCACATCATTCCAATCCAATGGTGTCTCATTTTATCATCTCTATTTTTTTTTTTCAATTGTTGAATTCATACTTTTAAGTTTTCAAAAAATTTTCAAAAAATTTTCAATTGTTGAATTCATACTTTTAAAAATAAACAATTTTTCCCCAATCCACAAAAATATAAATGAATCCACAGTACAAGTGTATTATGAAAACTATCCCTGCAACCTCAGTATTTCTTGAAATGAGGTCAGTCTATATCATCAGACATCTATACCATACAATGATTCTATATATCAAATACATGTATAGTAGTCTTATCACTAAAGTAATTGGAAAAAGAAAGCATGTGATTAAACAATGATACAGTTTTTTAAGCAGTCAATGAACCATACAAATAAGGTCAAGGACAACACACAAATGCCAGACGGAAAATTCAGACTACAAGGCATTTGTAAACTAGATATAGATTACCCAACTCTTCTACCATCTGAAATTTAAGGCTTTATGACAATAAAAGTTTATTCCCTTGTTATCGCTGTCTGATTCGAATTCCTGTCTCTCATTTCATGACACTTGTTGCAGGATTGTCAAAAATTACAACATAGAAGAAACAATAAGTATGACTGTATAAAGACTTACACCATAGGTTCTCCAGAATTAAATCCCATACTCCTACAAACCACTGTAGCCTCTTGTTGACCCCATTTATTGTCACAAACAGATCCTAATTCATCGTCTATACGGATGATAACTCTACCATAGTTGGTCCCTCCACCTTCCAACAATGTACTGGGTGCTGAAATTAAAAAAAAAACCAAACTTTTGATATAAATACTAACATACAATATGTACTACTGGCTAAAATGACTTTCGCATTTGATAATATCTCTAATCTAGAAAATAAAAACAACAAAACTTCCTCTATCCAGATTAAAATACACTCCCTGTTTGCACATTAAACTTATAAGGTTTCTACCACACTCTGTTCTACTTTTTGTTTTGTTCATTACTACGTCAACAAATGAAATTTCTGACCCAAAATGTTTGAAGTTATGTATCATTATGACCGATCTTAACAGAGAATCATAAAAATATGGTTATGTCTTACACTTCTTCAGACAGACAATCTGTTACATAGTCCATGATTCAAGTAAATAAGTTATTAATTCACAAGATTGTAAAAAATACACATATATTTATTATTTTTTATTGACCTTTGGTACTTTGTCGAAAAATAGTGAACTGGTATATATAGTAACTCAAACATTTTTGTTTTAAACATAACATTAATCATTCTTACCAAAACTAGTATAACAAATGGCCCCTGCCACTGATGAACTGTAACATACACCAGTATCTCCTTTACATTGGGAGAAATCACTTTCATTCCCAAAGCAATGGTACTCAGACACCAGTACAGGAACAGAGGAAGGCTTATGATAGACAGTAGCCACACCTCCTGTGTATCTCTTAGTCTTACACAGAACATTAGCTGCTTTGTCGTCCCAGAAGGAAGAACACACTTGTCCCCATGTGTTGAAGGCTCGGACAGAAACAGCTCCATAACTATGAAGACCACCTTCTGATTCCAGTCCTATGTTCACTTTTACCACTAAAAATATAAATATAATAAGTCAAAATATACATAGGCATGATAGGGCAGTAAATAATTTTAAGTAGAAGGTTATAAACGATTTCAAATTCCGTTCATCACTAAACAATGAAAATTAATATTTAATGGAATGAAATAAAAACAAGATTTATAACTATCTCAGCTATCTTGGGCTAACCTTAAGAAAGGAAGTAAGTGGGTCTTTGTCATGTCAAACCAGACTTTAAAAATTAGTCTTTGTATCTTCTCTGCTCAGCATCATTTATTAGAAAGAGGAACAATATCAGTTTTTTTGAAGTTGGACTAATGTTCCCTTGTATGATGCTATATATATACTGTGGACTGTTGCTTCGTTAGCTAGGATGTTAAAACCCTAGTTCATATTTATTTCACATACAAAAAATTCTAAATGTTCTAGACTTCTAGTCCTTAATATGATTGAAAACATTGAAATTTACATATCTGACATTTAATCATTTATTCACACATCCATAAATCATGTCAGTCATGTCAGTATTCATGGAATAAAACTTTTGAGAATTTCAAGGTGAATATTGACATTCCCTTGCTATACATTTGTACTACAATGACTAAGGGAAAATTGATAAAATATTCATAAAAAAAAGAGAAAAAAGAAGAATGTGTCTGAGGACACGAATGCCCCCGCTTAAGCTTGCTTTTCAAATGAAAATGGGAGTGGGAAAGAGGGATGGATGGATGGAAAAAAAAAGAGAAAGAGAAGAATACGTCTGAGGACACGAATGCCCCTGCTTAAGCTTGCTTTTCAAATGAAAATGGGAGTTGGAAAGAGGGATGGATGGATGGATGGTCAAGGGTAACACTTAATGCCCCCTTCGCCTTGCAGCAGGGGCATAAAAATACAATACCATTAAGGTTTCTCATTTTTCAAAGGAATGAACTGGTGGTAGTGATTTATTAAAGGAACATTATCTACGAAGTACACAAATATCTAAAATATAATATTTTTTTGTTTCAAAAATTTATTAAAGCTGAATTTTGAAATAAGATTTCACTATTAGCATACCTTCAATTAAACCTGTACAAATGAAGCTGTAGATGGATTACACATGTGCTGAGCATGTTAAGTTATAAATAAGAAAAGAATGTAAACATTGAAGTGAAATAAGGCAGCCATATTAAAATAAAATTCCATCTGTAAATAAATCACTGCATGAAATTATTTTTCCATCATCTGGAAATGAAAGAAAATGAATAATCCAAAATAATGAAAATGTTTCAGTTGTGTAATATAATGGTTTGTGTTAAAATTAAACTCTTTTAGTTTGGTAATACTGCTCATTTGCTGTTACTGTGTTTCAAAAATAATAATATACATAATTCATAAGATATTAAGATTGCTTACAAACATTCAATATATTGCTTACCAGTATCAGAACTTCCATTGTAACAACTGACAGCTGCATATCCAAAATATTTGTTACTGCAAACTTTTTTTGTTTGGAAATTACATTTAAATATAGAATCTTCTGTTCCTTTACAGCTTATCTTTGTTAGAGGATATTTGTTGTACTTTCCAAAACTTCCCTGTGGCAGGACTGTTCCATTATTATAACCTAGCTCCTTACAAACAAGTCGTGATTCAAACATTCCAAATCCACTCAGACAAATATCAAACCAGCTTTGTTCAGAGGTTACAAAGATATTCACAACACCATTATCAGGTCTACTTGACTGTAACAATCTGACTGAAAATAGTAAAGGCATGTACAGTAACAGTTGTATTAATCTTATGTCAAATCCAAAGCGTAGTGTGGACATAGGATTTCAATCAGATTTTATTGTTAATACAGAAGAAACAGTAAGTGGCTAATAAATCAGATTTATCATTTTTTAGAAAGACATTTAAATAATTGAAACAAGGTACAATAAGAGTGTTGTTAGGATCGACAGTAGAATACTATAGGAGTTTTATGTTTACACCAAATGGTCCATTCCATAATATACATACCATCTGTTGTTAGGGTCAACAGTAGCATAGCACTTTTTTAATTACACCAAATGGTCAATTCCATAATATACATACCATCTGTATAACACAATACTTCTACATCTCTTTTATTATTAGAGCATTCATCATCAGCTACACCCCATCCTGAATTGTTACACATTAGGATGGATTTCTCTACTCCTGTACATATAACACCACTAAGGAAGACATTTCCTGTTCCACCATTCCCCAAATTAGTTGTTTCTCCGTCAGCAAACCCCTTCTCTTTACACAGAACTCTAGAATTAGTCTTGGACCAGTATTTATTACAGACAGACCCTGTTTGTCCATCATAAGTTATTTCTACACGCCCTGTCTGTCCACCTCCTACAATACTCATTTTAGGGGCTGAAAATGTATAATAAAATTATGTAAGCATAGTTATCAAAAGAGAGAATTAATACATATATGTACATGTATTTATACAACTATAATATATTTGCGGCTCTTTGGAGGCCTATATTTCAATATACATGTTATAAGTCCATATGATTTTCCATATTCCAATTGAACTGTGAATTCATAAATTATCAATCCATTTTATCATGTTTATGGGTCCTTTCGCTTGAATTTATTTTAATGACATTTCATTTTGTTTAAGTTTGATATGCTGCATGTGGACTAAATTACTGTCAATCAATCATTCATAAGTTATTGACATGTTTTCATCTTGAATATAATATACCAGTAATGAGGATGACAATCTTATGAAAATTTGTATGAATTTTTTTTTACAAGTTAAAACAATGTGTAACTTTGATGTCTTTGGGTATTTAAAAGAACATGCAATCTATGTACGCTATACTCTATGAAATATTTGTAGATCTATTGGAAAGTCTCATTTTAATATGTGAATGCATAATGTATAATTTACTATTCAAAAATATACAAACTATGCAATTTTCTACATGTATGTGACTGTCATTAGTGTATTCTTTCCATAAGCCTGAGGGAATATAGGGCCATAGATTATGAAATATGATCATGACATAATCAATATGATATCTTAATAATTGCAGGTTACTAGTTCATATACATGTACAAGTAATAACATGTAATAAAAATGTAACGTCCATAAGCTTAAACATGTCATAGTTAACATTTTCAGGATTTATTACTTTTAGGTTCATCTAAGGGTCTCGATCAAACAATACAGCACAATTAGCTGTGTAAAAGTATAATAAAAACTATCTGTATTAGCCGTAACAGCATTTCTTAAACCTATCATATTTACATCAAGTATGTATACACATGACATATTGAATAGAATTGAAAATGGAAACAGGAATTGTGTCAAAGAGACAACAACCCGACCAAAGAGCAGGAAACAGCCCAAGGCCACCAAATGTGTCTTCAACACAGCGGGAAAATCCCACACCTGGAGGCGGGCCTCAGCTGGCCCCTAAACAATAATGTATACTAGTTCAGCAAAAAGGATGCCACATTAAACTCCAAAACATAAGCATATCAACCATATTTTCATGAATCTTTACATATTTACTTGGAGCAGATGTCATGAAAAAACTGTTTTAGAAGATTAAAAATAATTAAAATTCCAAATGGTCTTTTGACCAAAATGAAAAATAAATTTACCAAAGCACCTGGGCCAACATTTTTTTAAGATAGTTTTTTTACGTCATTTTAAGTGATTAAGCATTCTTCACTGTCTTTTGTTTCCCAAGATTCAAGATAAATAACAAGGATACAAAAAAGTAACAATTATTAAAATGACTAGCCAGAAATTCTGGCTCATTGTCCAAAGGAAGCAGAAACTGCGCCAAATATCAGACTATAAAATGTAATAAACTAAACAAAGAGCAAATTTAATTTCCCTTTCATAATGTTTTAGGATTGAATATTACAGCACAGAAAAGGGGAAACTTGTTGTTTACAGTAGGTTATGCTCTATCCACCAAAAAGTTGATTCGAAAAAATGTTTTTAATGACGTAACAAATATTGATGTCAATAGATTCATTTTGAAAAGGTCAAATCAAATTATTGTACCTGTTTCAGACAAATATTTTTGTACCAGAACTTTAATGAATCAATAGATGTAAATTCAACATTTTAAAGGTAGTGTTCTAAGATTAGTGAGCTCGAGGTAAATCACATTCTTGCCATTTCTATATTTTTTATCAGCCATGAATTGTGAAATATATTGTTTTGGACACTTACATGTATTTTCAATATTTTATGTATGGACACTTACATGTATTTTCAATATTTTATGTATCTTCATACTCAATAATACTTTTAGTTTACTGATTATATATTGAACCTATCATGCACTCAATTTAATCATACAACATTTAATGTTTTTGTATGTACATGTAAACTTGTTGCCATTGGCAGTTTAAGCTCATAATAGACCACAGACTAGGATGTAAGTACAATTGAAGTACAATGTTTAGCAACTAGTATTAACATTAGTCACATAACAGGTGTTTCTAGTGAGACAGGAACTATGTCAATATCTTCAATTTTTTAAAGTTTTTAGTTGGTCAGTCTTTATTTTTTCTGTGAAGTGTATTATCTACAACTGTTTTTCTTTCAATAGGCTTCTTAATTTAGGTAATGATGTTGTCGGTTAAAATTGTAATTCTGATTGCACCCTTGGTCATGTTTCATGTAAATTATATTCTATAATTTTCTTGTGTCTTTTATTTAGTTCAAGTCACCTGGTATACAAACAAATTCTATCATGTTATTTTGAACATCAAGGATATTCCTACATCATTTACATGATGATCAGTTGGAACTATGTTTGGATACTATTAGCAACAATAGCTACAAACCTTCCTTTTTATAACACAGCACAGAAACAGCAGGGCACCAAAACACTGGATGAAACCAAGAAGAACTTTTACAGTAATAAAGAGATGTTTCCTTCCCTGTGCACTTTAAACCACTGACCCACGCAACTTTATCTGGTTGATGTTTGGTACCAAATACTACTCCACCAATGAATCCTTTACTACGACACACTACTGTGGCTTCTACATTGGACCATTCAGAAGAGCAGGCATGACCCCACACACCAAGATGCTTGACTTCAACACGACCCCATGCTTCCCCACCATCTACAATTCTTACATCAAAATCTGAAATATAATGTGTATAACATCTATATTCATACAACTAACATGGCTACATTTGTTAATCAAAAGTTCATTAAACTGATATGCAAAGTTTTTGAACTTATTTTCTCAATTGGTAGTTTAGTAACAGAGTCAGTTTAAAATCAGTCTCCATTTATAACTTGAAAAATAATGACTTAATTCCAGTATTCAAAGTCTGCAATTTCTCAAAAGGTGATAAGAATTCTTAACAATTCTATTATTTAGATCAAAAAAAAAATTGTAGATCTGACAAAAGAAATCTAGAAATAAATCCAGCTGATATGTGTCTTCCATGCAGCCTTCACGATAAACTTTCGAGTCCACAAGCCCAGGGCTCAATTTTATGAAAACTTTAGTTGGTTTCTGTTGGCTTGTAGAGAAGAATTTAACAAGCCCCCGATTAATTTTACAAGCCATAGCCGTAGGACTTGTGGTTAAGCGTAAAGACTGTCCATGTAAACTTTTCATGAGAACAGAGAAGGAATCACCTTCTGAGGTGTTCATAATTATATCTGATAGACGGTGAGTGAAAGCTTTATGACAGTCTTATTTTGATTTTATATATATATCTTTTAAATCACTATGCTTATTATTGGACACAACTTACTCATGCCAACATTATTTAATGATGTATTGTAGCACACAGCCCCAGCTAAACTTCCATCAACACAGCTCTGCCAATAATAGTCTGAGTAAGAGCAATTCAACAACCTCTTCTCTTTTCCTGAGCATTTAAATTTGTAGAAGGCATCAGAAAATCCCAGAGATATTCCAATAGATCCTCTCGTTGCATTTGTTATTGCTTTACCAGAGACATAACCCAGTTCTCTGCAAATGACGCCAGCGTCAATATCGTCCCATCCATGATGACACACCTCGGACCAACCCTTTGGTCCACTAACCTCCACCAGTCCAACATTTGTTTGATTTTTGGCATAGCGCAACTGTGCTATCAGTAATAGAAAAAAATTAAATAATAACATAACATAATAAAAACAAAATTTAGATTCCACCCAGCATGCCCAGATATTCTTATTCATCATGTTCATGAAAAAATTCTGTTTGCCAAGAGGTAATTATTTGTGCTATATTCTTTTAAACTAAACAGTGAAATTTTACTATATAGTATGCTAGTATCTAGAAGGAAATTTTTGTTTTCTTCCAGTTAACATTACATTCAGTCTGCAGTTAAAGTTTTTAAACATTTATTAGATTCATAAACTATCCTGGATTTTTACCAAACATGGACAGAAGCTTCTTACAATCAAAAGATAGTATCAAGAGGAATATTTTTATTGATTTACTTCCTCATTTTTGTTGAGCCTGTGATTAACAGAAAAAGTAGGCGAGACACTGGGTTCCGCGGAACCCTTACAAATTTTATATTAAATAGATGAATTCCAATAGTAACTATTAGTTAACTAGGAATATGATTTTGTCCTAACTCCACAATACTATTATTGCTATATATATAAGTGTGTTGTGGCATGTTTGGTACGCATGTTAAGGTGCACAGGTTTGTTTATTATTTTTCTTAAAAATATGCCTGCCATCTTGTTTATGTTTTTAGCTTTGCATGAATTGTTTTACTTTTCTCAAGGACGTATATGTTAGTTATACGTCCTTGACTACACTAAATAAGTGAAAATATGTTTAAATTATATACAAGTCCTTTAAAGATAACTATACACTATGGGTTTTGCTAATTGTTGATTGCTGTACAGTGGCCTATAGTTGCTTACATCTACGTCATTTGGTGGATAGTTTTCTCAATTGGCAATACAACAAAAAATAAAAATTGAGAGATTTGTGAATTTTCAGACTTACAATTCGACTTTTATACGTGACTTCTCACTTTTCTTCATTGTCATCAATTTTATAAAACCGTATGCCCTACAACTTTCCGTTTCTATCTCGAATAACATGCCCATATTATCAGGTTATGTACAATCTTAAAAATAGGCTTTTAATTTTTCCGCCAACCGAATTTTGTTCAACCGGAAGTAAACATATATTAACTATTATAAGAAAACAAAATCGGTTTTATTCCGGAATTGTAGCGAATCAAATAAGCTTCATTTAAAAAAGTCCAATTTAAAGTCGACCAAGAAGATATCGAGTAGCAAATAAATATGAACGAAACGTTAACCAATGCTTGTAGTTATTAACTGTATCAATCTCCTCGTCACTTAATAGTCGCTGAGGCCTCTCTTTTTTGTAATTTGAAATGTATTAAACCAGAGACATATATACACATGTGTATATATGTCTCTGATAAAACCTAATTTTCACTATACGGATTTAAAAGGAAAGTATCTGAGAGACATATACAACGAGCGCGGATAAAAACTTTTATGAATAATATAAAGAAAATGAAGCGTAGGGTATCAACAATGAGACAGCAAACAAACATTGCAAACGAAAAAAAAAAAAAAACCCACAAAAACAAAAGGCAGCGATGTAGATCTTGAAGGCAAGCCGGCTGTCAACACATGCCAAAAACAAAAAGTACAAAAAATAAAATAAATGATATTAATAGGCACAGACTAACATGCTGCGGATTAGTAGTAGTTTAATTGAACACCCAATCCAAATTAACTCCAACGATACGATACTCTTCGTTTTATAAATCATGGTTTGTGTTAATCGAAAATTGATGAAGTTTATATATCAGACACGTAGTTACTGAATTGTTTATTAAATATTACCGATGCCAATAGCCAAAATTTGGGAGAGAAATGGCGAAAAGGTATGCAATCCAGAGATACTGGAAATTACTGCAGAAAGACTAAATTATTCAGATTGCTTTTACAACAATATTCAACATTTTCTGGGACTATTATACTAACTATATAGTTAATAGTCCCAGACATTTTGTTAATTAAATAAATACCTACAAGTAACGTTGAAACAGGAGACGCCAGCATCTTCCTGGTGATTACAGTTGTGTACTCCCCACGGATTAGTCAGACATTCGTCCAGCGATGTCTCGTGTCCTTTACAAATAACTTCATCTAAATATATCTGACCTTTGCCCTGCCCAAAGTGGGCTAATGAATGGGCTATCTGAAAATATTAAAAAAAACAAATATCATAATTTTGAAACGATTAAGTAATTTGCATCGGTTTTGTTTCCAAAACACATTCACATATACACATTAAAAAAGCTTTCGTAACTTACAATACTTGTAGTAATACAATACTTTAGTCTTAGATAAAACAAAATTGTAATACATGTGCTATGAGTGGTCTGTGTGATCTTAATATAGTACCCAAGAAACGACCTTACCATGAAATCTTAACACTGACCAATGAACAATGAAAATGAGGTAAAGTAAGATGAGCTCTCACAGACTGACAAGTACACCTTGCAATATTTCATACACAAAATATATTTCAAAGGTCTAAAACACAAAAAACTTTACATCGACCGCTGAACCACGAGCATGAGGTCAAGGCCTGTATTTACTCTTCAACAATAAACAAAAACAATTATTACAGAGAGCAACTAACAACAACCGCTAAATTACGGACTCCTTTCTTGTGAAAGGCACATAACTATGATAGGGTTTTAAATACTAGTATATGTTTGTGATTGGTTAACCTTCACTTAGCTTGGAAAGTGTTGTAACAACAAATCATAAATAAACTGAAAAACTCAATTACATTGGCTTAATTGACCAACAGATCTGTACTTATTAAAGCACACTAATTCAATAACAAGAAGACAAAAGACACAGTTACTGAAAGCGAGATCAAAGTCCATTATCAACTAACATGAAAAAACACATGTTTTTCCAGACTTAAATATCAACCAGTGCACCTCCAACATATTTAGGTAACTTGAATATCATAAGAATATTTATTTTGTCTAAGCCGTTGTCTATCATTGTTTAGCCATTTCTTAATACTTTTTTAACTGCTCGTGGCGGTTGATAGAGAGAATTAGACATTTGTTATACAATATACTTACACCCCAGGTAAATCCAAGCTGTCGACATACAACTGTAGCTGCATCATTATCCCAGAAATCATCACATATTGTTCCCCAATTAGCTTTGTCTTTGGAAATTTCTACCCTCCCTGAACTCGCATCCTTTCCATCTTTTAACCGTACATAGAATGCTAAAATAAAAAAATAAAAACATACATGGATTTGTGAATATATGTTATATTTGTTGATGGATAAATTTTTACCATAAACAATTAAGTTCATAATTTATGTAATTGTAAAACAGTTAATTCCCAGAGACAGTTTGACATGAACGATCTAGATTTAGATAAACATGAAGGTATCTGCTAACATTCAAATAAAATAATTTTGAAATACACAAGGCGTATCTATACACAATGTAATTTTAATGGGGCTTTGAAATAAGTGTACTGAAAAACATGGATATACATTTGAATGATGTATGTTCCCCGGCTATAAATAATAAAGATAATGCAGCCATCGATCATGTTCAATTATGTTGATTACCAACTTATATATACATAAATGAAATGTCAACGGAATGCAAGTTGAATTTTAATTTCATTTCCTATGTGTAAGTATTACTAAACAATACACCGACTTGAGCAAAAAACATCTCAATAAATCTTTTTGCCCTTAAATACAATATTCATAGAAAATGCAATTTCACTTATTATCATATGTCATTATAGTTATTATCAAAAAAGAAAAAAAAAACTATTTATTACGAGGGAAAGAGTTCAAAATGTAATGTTGCCGTCAATGGAATGAATAAAGTGTCTAGTAATGCTATAAATTGAAGGTCAATTAAAATTTCCAAAGATTCATTAACAACTGCAATCGTTTAAGCAATGTTCCTTCATAGTCATAGTAAACTATTATATAGTATTTAAATTCATGCACATTGTATTACATCTTATAATCAAACTTGTTACATTAAAAGTCTAACCATGTGTTATTACATATGAGGAACATGAGGCCCATCAGAAATCAAATAGATGTTTAACGCCGTTCATCCACAAATATAACACACGCGCTCATACACTCATCAGCCTATACAATGATTACTGACCCCCCTCCCCCAAGAAATAAATAAAATAAATAAATAAACGGCATATCAATCAATTTGATATGGGTTTTATAATAATAAAAAACAGCGTATCTGTTACTCTGTACATTGTATTTTAGAATTCTGTGTTGGGTTTTCTGACCTTGATCAATCACCTGTTTGCCGATTCGTTATAATCTTAAAATTTAGTTAATAATTATCCATAAAATAGAAACTTTAAACAGTACTTCAAATAAAAATTATGGTTTATTAGATTTTTATGGAGGATTTCTAAAATAACGAATACAATTTCCACGACAGAAAACAAATTTAAAGAAACAAACATTTCGTTTACTATGGCAATCAAATCTGGAATAATTTACAAAGTTGTATCAAAACCTCAAGTTCTATTTCTGTATTCAAAGATATGTGCTTTGATTAAATATTAATGTATATACTGTTTACATGTTACTTTTATTATTACATGTATAACTGTATAAATGTGATGTATATTTACAAATGATTTATGCCATTATGATTTATGATTTATTAATTCTTTTGTTTATGTTGTTTCTTGGACCATATTGATAGTAAGTTTATAACTACATGTAATATAAAATAAAGAGGTGTGGTATGATTGCTAATGAGACAACTACATATCCAAGAGAACCAAAATGACGAGAACCTAAGCAACTACATGTAAAGAGCATGTTATCTTCCCGGAATAAAGATTAATATTTTATTTACTTCATGAATGTAATCTTTAACTTAACATTGACATTTCCACTAAGTATTCAGAACATCGTTAATACATGTAAGTAATGTAATTAATTGAAAATTAATGATGGGAGTGTTTATAGCGACCTTGACTACTTATGTAAGTCTCGCATTGAACGCCATCATGGTCATAACTGGTTGTGGTTTTGCCGGTGATTAAAGTGGCGTAGCATGTGATGCTGTACTTTATTTCACCTATTTGTAGGGTATAATTTCGTCTAATTGAAGTACTTATAAAAGGAGACGAGGAAAGACAGCAACAAAACGCAAAAAAAAAACCAACTAAAAACAACACAAAATTTGTAGAAGTGAGCAATAACAAAGGGACAAGGGGTCGTCGTCAGGAATTGAGTTGAGTTAATTGACACCAAGTATTGATTTCGACTCAGCTAGTAACGTTTTTTCATCATATCTTTTGGTACAATTGACACACACTGCATCTATGTATCGTTGACAGGTGGAGCTTGATGTATTTGCTAATATTATTAATTCGTATATTTTAACTAATTTGATTCGTTCAGGGATAGTCACATGTTAAATTATATTTTCGAAGGTAGACAGAAAACGGCGGATAGCAAAAAGCATATTGCATAGCAAAAAGCATATTGTACGGTTATTTTTAGAATATCTAAAAACCGATATACTTTGTGACGTCATGTAATGAATTTCATGATATTGATAAAAGTTTAATTAAAAAATATCTATGATCGCCTATTTGAAGAAAAAAAATCTTCAAATTCATAAGATCTAAAAAACAAACATAAAAAATAAATGAAATAACAACTAATATGTTGTTATTGTCTAGGAGACAATATAATATCTATATATTTCCAACAAAATCAAACGACGATTTTCATACAAATATGGTCGGAAATTAATAATATAACAAGTATAGCCTATGTATGAGGTCAATACAGGATATATCGATCCAAAGAAGTATATCGACCTCGGACTTCGTCCTCAGTCAATATACTTCTTTCAGGTCAATATATCCTTGTATCGACCTCATACAAAGGCTATAATTGTATAATATTGCGGAGACAGATGCATTTACCCTTTAAGGCAGTAGATGGGTTTACAATTTATTTTCGACTTATGAGTTTGAATGTCCCTTCGGTATCATTCGCCACTCTTGAAGAGGTAGGTCAACGTCCACACAATTCTCAGCCGAATTAGTAGGATTAGTTAAAGGAACATTTTTTAGTTGATATATATAGAATTCGTTGGCTGCTCTTTGCTATTTACTGTATCCCATAGAAAATAATTTGCATTCAGTATTAGCCCAACTTTTCCTTGGTAAATATCGATCAATACTAATATACAATGCCTACATTTCAGTAGATAAATCATAAAAGACAAAAGAAGAAGCTGGTTTTAACCCCGAACTCACCTTAACCCCTAAATTTAAGTACCGATCAATTTAATAGTGCATCAAACCTGCGAGTTGATAGTTTAATTGAGAAAAAAGGGTTTGTAACGATAGCAATTTATTGAAATGAACCAATACATTTCTCTTCATCGTCTAGTTTTTAAAAGTTTTGAATTTCAAAGCCAGCGAACGTAGGCACTTATCGTAATTATCTAGTCTCAATAAAGGAAGTCGGTGTTCATTTGTACTACACCAAGTAAACAATTTGCTCAATCAACACGATGAATTGTTTCAATGTGTCAGTCTGATATTCAAAATATCTAAAATACTGCAATGATTTACCGTCGCAGATGGAACTTTAAATCACATTTTCGATGTTTAAGTAGATTCCGTGTCAAATTTCATGTGTAATTAGGTTGAAAATCCCAATACAACAAGATTTGTTTTTCAATTCGATGTTATTCTGTTATTATTGGGGATATACTTCTTGAACCTTTACAATAAGTCAAAAAGTGAAGAATGACGTGACTATATTTCAAGAACTGAAAACTTTGGTAAAATATTTCACAACGAAGCAAAAGAGGGAGTGTCAAAAGAAAAAAAAATATACACATACATATACAAATAATTATACCATTCGTCTCAAGAGGGCAAAGATCATTTTAAATTGAGCAAATGGTGTAAAATACAGTTTTGACAAAATGGAACTTAACTGGAAAATATAAGAATCTCATCATAGATACTAGGATTGATATTTTGTACGTCAGACGCGCGTTTCATCTACAAAAGACGCATCAGTTACGCTCGAATCAAAAAAGTAAAAAAGGCTAAATAAAGTACGAAGCTGGAGAGCATTGTGGACCCAAAATTTCGAAAGGTTTTTGAAAAATACAGCTTAGGTAATCTCTTCCTTTTTAGAAAATCCTTAGTATTTCGAAAAATTCAAAGTTTTGTAAACTGTTAGTTTAAAAGGGTGGAAAATACCAAACAATACAACATTCAGATACACAACTTATAATCAACTTCATGATCCTTCTTATTGGCGATAAAAAATAAACACTATGATAAATTAAGTTAATCTAAAACGTACAAATGACCTTTCATCTAACTCCTATATTTAACACGTCATCTTGACAGTAAATATGACGCTTAAACGGACAAAACAACCATAAAAAGTGTTAAATATAGGTAGCCAGATACTATTTTGATAACTTCAGTATCTATTTGAATATTTGTACAGATTTAATAACTACCACAGTGGGTACACAATGAGTCCCCACATTATTGAATGCAAGTATTTTGCAAATTATGCATAAAAATGCACCACAAAAGACAGCCCATCGTTTCGGCCGTTTAAGCGTTTAACATTCAGTAATGTGATCCTGGTGACCTCTATGGCTTGTAGCTATATATATATATTTATTATATATTCTGAAGTTTGTATCAGCCTTGAAATAGACTATCTTTTATTCCGATCTGACACTAAATATATTAACTACAGAAAACAAAACATTCGATCTAACCTCCGGTATTTGTTAAATTTTCTAAAAAGCTCAAACGTCAATGTTCTCATAACTAAGATTCTGGCTTGTGGTGTTATGGTTGGCTTTTTTCTCGTGGTGATTTTTGGTCTATATCTTTGTTATATATACTATTGTTTGCTTAGCGTTTGTAATATTTATTCGGATGACATGTCATAATTAGCTTACAGAGAAAAATAATGCGTATATTAAGTTTGAAAAGTGAAACTTAATACTGATGACTTGTTACACCAAATTGAGGATTCAATCTCAAACTAGTATGTATGAAAGGAGATGTGGGTTATACCGTTCAATGAAACAACAACCAAATTACTCAGAAAAAGGACATCTGTATCTTTAAAAAAAGATGAGACATGTATATACAACCATTAAAATAAACATGCCAAATTTAGTTATTTTCGGTTCCAATGTTTTAAA